AACGCTGCAACTGTGACTTGGGGAGAGACATTTCAGGAACTTGCATTTTGAAAAGAAATAGGTGTCTCCAGAAATCAGCACGGCTCTCACCACTTAGATGGTGGACTTGTCGTTTTCTTGATTCGAACAAATTTGGCTTCTCTGACTCAGGCTTAAAGATTTTAGGTAAAACAAAATAAATAACTAAAATTTTGAAAATGCAGTGTTGAATTCGGAGACTCTCGCTGTCCCAGCTGCAGAAAATAAGTAAGGTATGCGGTCCCAGGCCTAAAAATGCCAGTTAAATAGAAAACTGAGGAAGAGGAGGAGGAAAGGAAATGAGAAGGGAAAGAGGAGGGAGGGCTAAGACACGCCATTCTCTAGACTCCATACAGCTGTTGTAATCAGTAATCAACAGCAACTGTACTTAACCCGCATTGACCTCACACTAGACCACAGTCAGTCAAGGAAAGGGAAAGGCTCACAGGGCCCCACCCTTTACCTCTCAAATGTTGTCTGTGGACGGATTGTAGGAGAAGAATCACTGCCTTTAGCTGCAGTCCTCTGCTCAGCCCAGCAGGCTCCTACACATAGCTCCAAACCCACTCACACATGGCCCTGGTTAATTTCAGTGGGTCCCAAGCAGGCACAACACTACATAATAAATAAATATTTTTAAAAAAAGACCTTCATTAAAGGCTTTCTCTAGTTTCTCATCTTTATGTGTCTATTATGTATAAGTTGTGATTTGTAAGAAAAGAATACCTGATAAATGCTATGTCCCATTACTTACAATGATATTTTTCTCTCCAGTATGTATTTTCTGATTTCTTCTAAAATTCAAATGGTCACAGTATGCATTTGTAAAGTTTCTCCCCTGTAAGAAGGAAAGATTTGTCACTTTCTTTACATATGTAAGGTCTCTGTCTAATATGAACTCTTTGATTTGTTGTGTGAGTTAAGGGTAAGGTTTCTCTACAATATGAATTTTCTGATGTTATCTAAAAGTTGAGGACTCAGGAAAAGTTTTGTCACATTCCTTGCATATGTAAGGTTTCTTTCCAGCATGAACATTCTGCTATATTCTAAGATGTGAGCACTTGGAAAAGGGTTTGCCACATGGTGGTTTGAAAGAAAATGGGCCCCGTAGAGAGTGGTCCTATTAAGAGGTGTGACTTTGTTAGAATATGTGTGACCTTGTTGGAGGAGGTGTGTCACTGTTGGGGTAGATTTTGAATTCTCCTATGCTCAAGGTATGCCCAGTGTGACAGACTCCTGCTGCTTGGTGATCAAAATGTAGATCTTTCTGCTACTAATCTGACACCATGTATGCCTGCATGCCACCCGCCATGATGTTAATGGACTAAACCTCTAAACTGTAAGCTAGCTCCAATTAAATTTTTGTTTGGTTTTGTTTTGCTCCCTTACAAGAGTTGCCTTGGGCTAGGCATTGGTGGTGCATACCTTTAATCCCAGAACTTGGGAGGCAGAGGCAGATATATCTCAGTGAGTTTGAGGTCTGGCTTGTCTACAAGCAAGTTACAGAGAAACCTGGTCTCCAAAAAACAAAACAAAACAAACAAACAAAAAACAACCAGTCAACCAGCAGCAACAAAAAACAAACACGAATTTCTTTGATCATGGTGTTTTTCACATAAATAGAAACCCCAACCAAGACTGGGGTTTTGCTGTGATAGGTCAGATGTGTTTTTGCTTGAAGGAATATGTACTTTGGTACTTTGGGTTGGGAAAGCAATGGATGCATTAAGTTGGATTGAGTGGTCCATCCTAGTAGGAACAAGAAAGACAGTAGTGCTGAGGCTGTTTTAAACTGTGGGGGCCTGGCTTAAGAGGATTTAAAGGAGAATTTTAGTATGTTGCCTAGAGATCATAATTGTGATATTTTGCTGAAGAATGTGACTGCATTTTTCTCTTAGCCAAATAATCTGACTGAGGCTAAAGTGAACAGTTTTTGTATTAATTCCATTGTCAGAGGAAATCTCAAAAAAGCCTATTATAGACCCTGTTGTTCTCAACCTAATGAAGATTTATAATGAAAATGAACAACGTAAGAAAGTAAAAATATAAATTTACAATTTGAGGAGAGAAGGGGTACCGGGAAATGGAATGGAGGGAAATCTTGTGATCAAGGAAATAAATGAATTAAAAAATGGAATAAAGGGAGTGGTGACCTAAAGGCAAGGCCCCACTCAGTTTAGCTTCAACCTTCTGAAAAATAATTAAAGACCAGCTTATGATTATTATAGGTGTGATGGTGCAGGCTTTTTTTTTTTTTTTTTTTCTTCTTCTTCTTCCTAACACTCAGGAGAATGAGGCTGGTGGATCTCTGAATTTGAGGCCAGCCTGGTCTACATATTGAGATTTATGACTGCCAAGCTCAGGCATCAAAAACAGAAAGGTTGAGAAGTAATTATATGAAAGGACATAGTCCAGCTCCAACAAGCAGCAGAACTTGGAAGCTTTGGGCATGTGGCTTTGGATTTAGAGGCAAGAATAAAAGGGGTTATGAAATCTCCACAACTGAGGAAAGCCACTGAGGCCAGCATGTGTCAGAGGTATCCCTATATGGAGGCATAGATAAGCCATTGTGTGAAGCTGTGACAGTGAAGTCTGGATTGCCTTGAAGACCCCAAAATGTTATTGATGCCAGAGCCATGGGATATCTATTGAGGAGAGAGAGCTCCTAACAGGGAAAGGAAAGAGCCTAGGAAAAAGAAGTGTGTTGCAGGAAAAAAAAATGCTGAAAGAAGTTGGAGATCTGAAGAGTGCTTTGACATTGACAAGAAGATGCAAAGTTTGGAGTTTGCCTAGCCAGTTTTTTCAGTCTTGCTTTGGTCCAGTATTTTCTCAATATGCTTACTTCCCTACATTTTGGAATGGTAATGTATACCCTGTGCCATTTTATGTTGGAAGTATGTGATCTGCTTTTTTACTTTGATTTTAAAGGGGATTACAGCTAAATGATTACATACACCTGAGAACAGACTTTGAACTTTAGACTTAAATATTTAAGTTTGAGACTGTTATAGTTTAAGGGGGACTCTTCATGTTGAACTGAATGCATTTTTTGCATTATGATATGGCTATAAGACTATGAGGGTCAGAAAATGGAATGTGGTGGTTTTAAAAAATGGCCCCCATAGGGAGTGACACTATTAAGAGGTGTGGTGGTTATCTTGAACATACAAGACCTCAAAGCCTGCCTCCACAGTTATACATTTCCCTCAACAAGACAACATCTGCTCCGACCCTCTCCTCTCTCAGCTCATCCTCTAGCACCATGTCTGCCTGCATGCTGCTACATCCTGCCATGGTGATAATGGACTAAACCTCTGAAATTGTAAGCCAGCCCCAATCAAAGGTTTTCCTTGGTAAGAATTTTGGTGGCCACAGTGTTTTCACAGTAATAGAAACACTAAGACAGACTAACTATTTCCCTATTTTCCTCCAGTTACTTCAAAAGTAATTTCTGCATGCCTTTAGGGATTTCTTTCTTTTTTTCAAAATAGGCTGTCTTTGTGTAACCTGGTTGTCTTTGTATTTGCTTTGTAGACCAAGCTAGCCTTGATCTCCCAGAGATCAACTTGCCTCTACCTCTAGCATCCAAGGATTAGAGGCATGCTGTATCATGCCCTGAGACCTTGTGGATTTTTAATAAACAAACAAACAAACAAATAAAATAAATTGTTTTTTCGAGACAGGGTTTCTCTGTATTGCTTTGGAGCCTGTCCTGGAACTAGCTCTGTTAGACCAAGCTGGTCTCTAACTCACAGAGATCCACCTGTCTCTGCCTCTCGAGTGCTGGGATTAAAGGTGTGCACCACCAATGCCCAGCTAATTAATTAATTTTATATATATGAGTGTTTTTCCTGTATGTCTGTGCAGTATGTGCATGATGTGCCTACAGAATCCAGAAGGGATCAGGTACCCTAGTACTAGAGTTACATACAGTTGTAAGCTTCCAGGTAGGTGCTGTGAATCAAACCAGGTCCCATGGAAGAGCAAACACTGCTTTCAATCACTACACCCTCTCTCCAGCCCCAACCTGGGGATTTGTAAACTGTATGTGAGCATGTGCATGTTGTTACATTCACAGTCTTTTTACATTTCTCAACTTTTCCCTATTTGTATTGTTTGATTTTTGAGGGTGGATAAATTTATTGGAGCATTTGTGTGTGTGTTTTCTTTCATTATGAATTTCATGTTTACTATTTCAGCGCTATGCAAAGGATTTGTCAAATTGAATGATATTTGTGTGTGGGAGCAGTGGAACTTCCAATGAACAGCAAGACTTGGGGATTATATATGGTGTACTATGTATTTTTAGAGGCTAAACAAGAAATATGTTTTTAATTATAGCTTTTCTCAGGGGCTTGAGGAAGGACTTAGTGGTTGAGAGTGAGCTCTGGCTCCTCCTAGAGAATCAGGGTTCTGTTACCAGCACACATATAACATCCCACTACTGTCTATACCTCCAGATTTGGGGATCTGACACCCTCTTTTGGCCTCCACAAGCAGGTAGCATGCATGGAGTGCAGACATGCAAGCAGTCAAAATTCCTACACTTTTTTTTTTAAACAATAAACACAATATTTTACAGTTAAGACTTGCAGGATTTTCTTTGAATATAAATTCTCATAGCTTTTTAATATTTAAACCTCATTAAAGGCTTTCACAAATTTCATATCTTTTATGTTTCAAATACTGTTGTGATTTGTAAGCAGAGAATAGCAGATAAAGCTGTATCACAGTATTTACAATGGCATTTTTTCTCTCCAGTATGAATTTTCTGATGTGCTAAAAGAGTTGAGCAATTAGAAAGATTTTTCATATTCTTCACATCTGTAAAGTTTCTCTCCAGTATGAATTTTGTGATGTGTTTTAACAGTAGGGGTCCTAATAAAGGATTTATCATATATTTCACATTTCTAAGGTTTCTCACCTGTATGGTTTCTGTAATGCCTTTTAACATGTGATAATTTAAGAAAGGACTTACAACATTCTTTCCATTTGTATAATTTCCCTAGAAAATGAATTTTCTGCTGCCTTCCAAATGATGAACCGTGGCTATTCATCTGTCACACTCATAGCAGGTATAAAGCTACTCTCTAGCATGCCTTTTGTTTGTATGCATTTTTTGATGGCTATTAAGTGCTGATAACTGAGGAAATGCCTTTCCACACTCTTTGCACTTGTAAGGTTTTTCCCCAGTATGAAGTCTTTGATGTGTTTTAAGACTTGAACATTGTGTAAAGAATTTGTCACAAACATTACACTTGTAGGGTTTCTCTCCAGTATGAATTCTCTCATGTTTTGTAAGAGTTGACTTTAGAGTAAAGGATTTGTCACAGTCCTTACATTTGTAAGGCTTTTCTCCAGTATACATTTTCTGATGGCTTTTAAGTGCTGATAAGTCATGAAATAACTTTCCACAATTTTTGCATTTGTAAGGTTTTTCTCCAGTATGGAGTCTTTCATGTGTTTTAAGATGTGAACACTGATTAAAGGATTTATCACAAATGTTGCACTTATAGGGTTTCTTTCCAGTGTGTATTCTCTGATGCTTTGTAAGAGTTGACTTCACAGGAAAGGATTTGTCACAGTCCTTACATTTGTAAGGCTTCTCTCCAGTATGCACATTCTGATGGTTTTTAAGTACGACCAACAGGCGAAATGATTTTCCACACTCTTTGCATTTGTAAGGTTTCTCCCCAGTATGAAGTCTTTGATGGGTTTTAAGACTTGCACTCTGGTTATAGGATTTTTCACAAATGTTGCACTTGTAGGGCTTCTTTCCAGTATAAATTCTCTGATGTATGGTGAGGCTTGAGGAGGTACTAAAGCATTTTCTGCATTTCCCATATGAGTGTGGTTTCTCTCCAGTGTAAATTGTATGTTTTATAAGACTGTACGCAGAGCTGAAAGAGTCATCATGTTCTCCCTGCCTGTGTTCTTTCTTTGCATTGCAGACTTTCTGATCTTGAGTAATGCTGAAACACAAATTTGAAAATTTCTCATAGTCTTTAGATTTGTAAGATTCTTCTCCATTGTGTATGTTTTCATGTCTCTCTGTGTTTGATGAGTCAATAGAGGCATCCCTGTGCTTATAGAATCTGTAATTATTACAGTGTTCTGTAGTTTCACTTGTTTTATAAAGTGCACGTGTGAAGAGATCCTGAAGCATTTTGCCAACCTCATTACATTGACAAGAATCATTTTCAGTCTTCACATGTTGATGGACAAGATCAAATTTGCAACAGTTCTCTGAAAATGAGAAAAATTCAGATTAATCAGTCTTGTTCCAAGATTAGACATTTCATAGATGATACTCTTTAAGTTCTCTCTTAAGATAAGTCAACTAGCAACTCTTTAGAATAGAGCTCCCAATAGTCAACCTTATTCTATCACTATAATTACATGGGCTCTCACAAAAAGAGTGACAGACTTCACAGAAGATAAAACAGATATTAAGTAATCAGTAATTAGCCTTGGGATGAAACTCACTGACTGATTATATTTAGAATACATGTCTCTATTTTTAAATATTTATTTCCTCCGATAGTAATCAAAGAGTTTAATCCAATCCCAGATTTACAGTATCTGTATTTCCTAATGAATAGCAATGAAAAGTACTGTTGAGAATTTCTTTTAAGAAAGCAACTATTCTTCCAGACACCAGAGGATCTAAATCATTTGAGGCAGGGCCATCCTGGGCAGCTATTAGCTATTGTTTATTTCTGTCTTCCAATCTCTGAGGTCCACACACTGCTGTGCTTCTTATCTTTCCTCGTGGGTTATAATGGGATCTACAGGATTACACAGTAGATCACAACTGACATTTAGAAGGCTAATCCACACCTGTTCGAGGATAAAGCTCATAAGGCACACCCTGTGAGGAATACTACCTTTTGAACAGCTGCTTGCCAACATTGCTTGGGTAACCAAGGGCCAAAGACTAGACAGATCAGAGAACAACAGTAAAACTAAAAACTACTGGTGTTAAAAAAAATTATCAATAAAATGAGTCCTAATGATATTTTGCTACACTCACAGATCAGTGCCTTACTCAGTCATCAGATGGATTTCTCCGGCAGCAGAAGGGACAGATGCAGAGACTCACAGCCAGACAGTATGTAGAGAGAGTTTATATGGGATGTCTCCATCAAATCCCTCCCCTCAGAGCTCAGGGAACCATGCAGAAGAAGAAGTAAAAGGAATGCAAGAGCCAGAGGCAATGGAAGATGACAGAAGAACAGTCCTCTTTGAACCAACTAGCCAAGTGCAAGTGAGTTCAGAGACTGAAGCAGCAGGCACAGGGCCTACAAGGTTCTGTGCCAGGTCCTCTGCATGTGTGTTATAGCTTAAGCTTAGTATTATCATGGGAGTCCTGTGTGTGAAAATGAATAGATCCCTGTTCTTAGCAGTCTTTTCCTTCTGTTGGGTTACCTTGTCTAACATCAACATGATGGCTTTTGCTTCATCTTATTATATTTTATTTTGTCATGCTTGGCTTTTATCTCTTAGGAAACTGTTATTTTCTAATGAGAGAAATAAACAGAGTGGGTATTGAGGGAAAGGGATATAGGGAGGAACTGGGAGCAGAGGGAGGGGAAAGTATAATCAGAATATACTGTTTGAGAAAAGAATCTATTTCAATAAAAGGAAATAAATAAAAAAGAAGATATGGGTGCAAATATTATATGCTACTAAGTTTCTGAAGGCATCATGGAACCAAAAATGGGGAGTGTATGACAGCTCTAAAATGGAAGGAAAAAAATTAAATATTGTGGAAAAGTTCTACTACCAAAGTTTGCACAGTCCCATTGTTTTCAAGACAGCTTAACAAAGAGTTTCCGACCTATAAAGTTGGTACATACAAAGGATGAATTAGGAATTTTACAAGTAAAATTTCTCACCCAGAGAAACAAGGTTGCTGTAATTCTCCATCATCACCTCAATGTACAAAGCCCTCTGAGCAGAGTCCAGGCATTCCCATTCTGCCTGGGAGAAGTCTACAGCTACATCCCAGAAAGTCAGAAGATGCTGAAATAGAAGAGCACAGATTGATCACATGATACCAGACAGAGAGCTTTCCAGGATATAAGGAGACTTGAAGAAATTTGGGATGTAGATGAAAGAACACAATTATTCAAAAAGATTATTTCTAATATGATCACATTGTATAATGAATGTTCTAACTCCGTGAAAATAGGTTAACACAATCATTTCACACACAATATTCATGAACCAAGGCACATTTAATGTCTGAACATGAATATCTATCTGTTATGGATGCTGTGTTTCTATCTCACAGGATTACAGTGTACATGTTTCAGAAGGAAAATCTGTGATGAGGAAATGTGATTTTAAATTCTTTACATGTAGATCATGCCACAATGGATCAAAACCCATATTCAAAATGAGAATCACAGCAACCTATAGAACATAGGAAATACCCTCAGGATATGGGAAGGGCAATAACTTTTTGAGTAGAAAAAGCACAAACAGAACCAGAACTAACCCCAAGTATCAACAGATGAAACTATGTGAAAATAAAAAGTTTCTGTTTATCAAATGAAACAATCAGCAGAGCATACAAACACCAACAGAGTTGGAGAGTATCAGTACCAGCAACACTCTGGGTATGGGCTCATATCTAGAATTTACTGAGAATTAAAAAAAATTAAACTCCAAGGATATAAAACTGCCAACCAATATATGCACAAATGAGTTGAATATATACTTTTGTGAGGAGAAAGATACAAATTGACAAGTGTAATTCCTAAAACGCCATCATGGAAACTCAAACTAAAACTACTTTGAAATACTGCTTCACCCCAGGCAGAATGGCTGTCATCAACAAATCTGACAACAAATGTTAGAGAGGATGTGGACAGAAAGATACCCTTATTCACTGCTGGTGTGTGTGTGTGTGTGTGTGTGTGTGTGTGTGTGTGTGTGTTATAATTTAATACAACCATCATGGAAACATGGAAATCAGATTAGAGATTGTTGAAAAAAATTAAAGATAGAATTAATGTACGAACAGCTCTTTCATTACTGGGCATATGCCCAGGGAACTCCACACCCTATTATTGAGCTATTTATACACCATATTTCTTACTGGTTATTCATCAAAGCAAAGAATTGGAATTACCTAACTGTCTAACAAAAGATGAATGGATAATGAGTATGGTATACAAAATGGAATATTATACAGTCGAAGGGATAAATAAAAAAAAAAAAAAAAAAAAAAAAAAAAAAAACAAAAGCAGGATAATGTGATTGAACTTAGAATGTGTAATAGTGAGGTCATACAAGTTATAAAGAAAGAAACTACATTTTCCCTCATACATAGAATCTAGCCAATGATATGTGTATATAGAATCAATGTACATATGCACACTGTAGAACATGGAGAAAAAAGAACAAGAAATGTTAAATATCAGCATTGAGGTAGGACTGAATGCAAGTAATGAACAGCAGTTATGAAAAATGATATAAACCTAAGTGCTTTTCTAGTTCTAATTCTGCCACATGTCTTTTGGCTTTGGGTGGTGGATAATTACAACAAAACATATTAAATTATGAAAATATAAAATCCCATGAGAGGCTCCAGAGCTTCTGCTCCCAATGACAACTCTAACTAAAAGTATTTAAATTGTACAGCCTTTGGATCTGGTTAATTTCAGTGTGTAATTTTTTTGTTGTGTGTTTGTTTGGGATGAATTTTATAACAAAGTTTAAAAAAGCCAGAAGCAGAAGATTAAAGGCCTCCTATATCTCAAAATATAACGTTTCTAGAAAAAAATAGGAGATATTGCCCACTAACCTGGGACATGTTTACTGGAGAATCAGCCATTTCTTTCTATTTCTCTTCTTTGAGTCTCTCTTTCATGAACAATGAATAGCTGGCTTGCTGACTTTTCACATAACAGGTCAAAAAGAAAATGCAAAAATTAATACTGAAAGCTGTTAATGAAAAATGTCAAATCACATGAAAAGACCTAATAAACAGAATAATACCAGGTGTCTGGTAAACGATTCCAAAATCACAAGAGCATGGAAATACATTTAAAGCCTGGAGAGAAAATTATCATCAACCATATTGTTTCAACCAGAAAATACTCTATAAAATTGATGGAGGCATAAGTACATTACAAAATAGGCATTAATTAACACAAGTTACTTCAATAAAACAATGCTGCAGATAATTATACAGGAAAAATATACAGAGGGGAATCAGAGGAATTATTCATGAAAACATGGAAAATAATAAATTTCATATGAAGAATTGATAAGTACAGGAGAAATAAGTAATCATTCATGGGCAAGATAGAAACAAGAAGTAATCATTCATGGGCAAACCACTAACTGTTACAGTAAAGACATAAAACTACCAATAATCTAACCAGCAACTGCTGGGTTGTACACTGTCAAGCTTTGTTATTATGATTAGGTTAATAAAAAAGTTGATTGGTCATAGTGGGACAGGATAAGGCTAGGAGGAGAAACCAAGCCGAAGATATTGGGAAAAAGAAGGGCGTCATTAGGAGAGTTGCCAACCAGACAGAAAACGAGTCAGACACACAAAATGGGATTGAGGTAAAGGCTATGAGCCCTGGGACAGTACATGGATCGAAAGAAATGGGTTAAATTGTAAGAGATAGTAAGTAATAAGCCTGAGCTATTGGCCAGACATTTATAATTAATATAAGCCTCTGAGTGGTTATTTGAGAGCAGCTCCAGGACAGGGAAACGTGTGCTCACAAACAACATTAAAATCAAAGCCATAGTAAATAAAAACCTATGAACAAAAATTCTAGCCACTCTGGGAATCAATACAGAGAATTTTAAAGCAAATATACAGATCCTCAATTTAAACAAATCTAGTGCATGACTCCACTGTACCACTCCTTGGCATATGCTTAAGGGACTGGACATCCTACTCACAGATACTTGCATCAGTCATGATTATTGCTGCTCTATTCACAATAGCTATAAAAGAAACAACCTAAATGTCCTTCAACTGATAAAAGGATAGTGAAAATATGGTTCATATAAAATATGGAACAGTATTTATCTGTTAAGGAAACGTGCTTTGCAGGTACATGGATGGACCTGGAAAAGATCATATTGAGTGAGGTAACCCAGACCTAGAAAGACAGACATTGCATAATCTCTCTCATAGGAAGTTTCTAGCACCAAACCTTCAGACGTGAGTACACAACCTGGAGTGAGTGCAGTAACCAGAAAAGAAAAAGACAGCAATGTAGGGTGTGAGGGAGCAATAGAGATGGGAGTAACAGGGAACAAGTGATCTGAACAGGGAAATGGAAAGACGGCAGGGGGGCTAATAATGGAGAAAAGACAGGCATAAACAGAAAAGGAGGGTAAAATAACAATAAGGATGCCTAAAAAGTCATAAACAATCATACCATTACCATCTATCAATAATGCGTATAACATATAAGTCTGCGTATCCAGTTACAGTTAGAATATAAATGATAATTTTCCTATCTGGGCTGATAATACTCCTCACAAGAGCCACAGATTTTCTAAAGAAACCACCAACACCAGGTATAAGAATCCTGTTTTAAGTATTGGTCACAATTGTCCAAGAGACTTTCAAACATTGTAGTCTACTGTTGTTACCCAGAGTTGCCTCCCAGAGGTAGAAAGTGAGTCCCTATTGTTAAAGAAGTCATGCACTTTAGACACAGAATACAGAGGCTCCAGATGGAACTGACCCTAAAGCCTCCTCCCCGGGGACTATCTTTCAAGGCACCAGAAGGAAACATGTAACCTTCTAAAGTAGGAACCAGCCAACAGTCCTACCCGGCTATAACCTATGAACCACAACAATGATCTATACTGCATGATAAACCTAAGGATACAAGAGTGGCACACATACCTTGGTGGTAACCAACAGCTTCTAATTGGATTAAAAACCTCTCAGCAAGGGGGAAATCATTATTACTACTGGAAACCAAGCTAGTGTTCCCAGCGTTAATGAAGTCAATGATCTCAGAGGAGAATCTATAACCACTAACTTACTGTATCAGCCTAATCCCGAAATGCATTCTAAATATTTTCCTTATTTCCACAGATAAATGTAGTCCTGACCTCTCATCAAGAAAAGCTATTTTAGCAACATAGGGATATTGTTAGAGAAAAGCACAATCAGTCAAAATGCAGACTTGTGACGCTCAGTTCCCACTGACACATAAACAACACAACTCCTTCACCTCAGGCTCAGGGATCACTGAGTAAGAGGGGAGGGAATACTGTAAGAGCCAGAACAGGATGTTTGCTGTGAGATTGTGTATCCTAGAAATGTCAGAGAACCTACATGCATGAAGTCATACAAACATGGCTGCATAAACATGAGCAGAAAAAGGCAAGCATCAAGAGACATGCTATCATGGAAGGGAGAAAGCTCATTAGGCTTCAACCCTAGTCAAACACTAAGGAATGCTGAGAGCTGGAAAAAAAGTCTTCACCAGAGAAGAGTACACCATATGGTTACCCAATACCAAATGTTAATCCCTGAAAACATACAGACTGTGTACTTTATATCTTTATGTTTAGAAACACACATGAACATACAATGACAATGAAAGGGAAAATTATCAAGAAATAATAAATGCCTCTGTTAGGACAGGATTTTAGGGCATCTACATAAAATGTCTATAATGGCCTTATACCATTTTCTTTTATTGCTACTCACATAAATAAAACAATATGAGCTAGAGAGATAGTATATGAGTATGAGTGTCTGTTACTGTTTTAGAGACCCGGGTTCCAATCCCAGACCCCAGGAAGTAGCTCCCATCTGTTCATACATACAATTCTAGAATGCACATAATACAGTCATACATGCAGCAAAACACTGATGGCAAAACTGATTTCCTGTTCCACTTCCACATTCATTTGATCCCCTTTCCACTCCTGCACCAATCCCGCCATCATCCCTACATCCTTAGCCACTGTTTCTCCTTCCAGGTCCCTTTGTTCTGCTGCACAGGTGACAGGTCTAGGTGACCAGTGAGCCCGGCACATGAGAAAGAGATTGTTCAGGAAGTCCCTGGATTTCTAACACAGTATCGTGCTCAGTAGATGAAGACGGGAATCTACTAATGATTTCCCAATTGTCATGCAGGGTCAGAATTCTGAAAATATTTAGAAAGCGTTTTAAGTTAGTGTCACTTGAATCTCACTCCCAATCACAGCTTAGTCAAATCTCAGGGGCAGAAATGTAAGTGAATGACTGGGATGAGAATATCACACACTAGGGAGGTTTGAAGAGAGAAAATTCCATGAAAAATTTCCTTGTTACTCTGAAGATTTCACTTTACTCTGTGTGATGTGAGTCATTCACACACAGCTCACACAAATACAGAGGAGTTTTACTGGGAACCCTAAGGAGCAAGGGAGACTGCAAGCAAACTATTCTTGCCCACAGACTGCGGCAGTTCTGCAACAGCCAGTCTTTTACAAAGTGCCCTGAGCAGGGTGGAGGGCTTGCCCCTCCTCTAGGGAGAATTCCACAGTCACACCACTGGCTGTCAACAGACCACAAAATAAAAAAACAACAGTTTGGCTCGTCCTGTTGATGAACACCTTTAATCCTAGCACTAGGAAAAAATGTGGGTGGAACTCTTTGTTTTTCAGTTCAGGTTGGGCTACAGGGAGAGTACTGGGCCAGACAGAGCAACAAAGGTTTCTTGGGTCTCAAACAAAACAAACACAGGAACCAAAGTTAATAGTTTTGTTATATGTCCATGGGTAGAGTGCTATTCTCAGATCAAGGAGACAAAAGGCTACTGTAGACATTTTTCTGATACAGATGAATCATCACAACCATTCAAAAGATGCTTTCTAATATCACCCCATATCATAATGCCTTTTCTTCTTTAGGAGAGAGGGTTTCTCTATATAATATAATCCCAGTGAAGGAGAGTAAAGATCATTCATTACCCAAATTCTTTGGTCAAATTATGCAAGCTTTATTTTCTGTCAGACAGGGCTATATACCTAATGTAGGGTGTGAAAATACAGTATTTAACAAAGGAGAAAGTGGGGCTTATACATTCCCCAAAACTGCAGGGTGAGGGTGTTTTCAAGGGCTGGTGGTTTTCCAGGGGAACTTTTGTTAAGTAGGAACTTGGCTGAACACTTGACACAACATCTTATCAGGTTACGTTCAAGCTGTGAGTCAAACTCCATAGGTTGGGGATCATGTCAAATTCCAGAAATGGCTTAAGGTATAGTCAGCTTGAATTTGGCAGCAAACAGAAATGAACGGGTTCTGACTTTATAAGAAACTATTTTCCTTCCTTATGATGGAGTCAGGCAGGCCCATCATTAAGCCCTGGCTGTCCAGAAAGTCGCTCTTTTTGTTTGTTTGTTTGTTTCTTGTTTTCTTCCAGACAGGGTTTCTTGGTGCAACAGCCCTGGCTGTCCTGGAACTCCAAACTTTGTAGACCAGGCTGGCCTCAAGCTCACAGAGATACTCTTGTCTCTGCCTCCCGAGTGCTGGGATTAAAGGTGTGTGTCATCATCACCTGGCTCATAATACCTCTTCTAACTGTGAAAATAATGTGACCTGACACCCTCAAACATCATACACTGCCTTTCATACTTCAAGGTGCAACACCAAGAACCCAGCACAAAAAGACACATGTAATTTTTCCTTTCTTCCTGTCTCCTCTCCTCTCCTCTTCCACCTCCTCTTCTCTCCTTTCCTCCCTCCCCCTCTATTGTTTGTTTGAGACAGAGTATCTAACCATGTAGGTATGGGTGTCCTGGAACTCATTCTGCTGGTCTCAAACACAGGGAGATTCACCTGTCTCTGCCATTGGGGTGCTGCTATTCAAGGCCTGTGCCATGTTCCAGGCCAGCCTGGTCTACTGAGTGAGTTCCAGGACAACCAAGTATACACAGAGAAACCCTGTCTCGAAAAAACAAAAACTCTGTAGCCATTTGTGACTAATACCTGAAAGCTCTCCTGGACAGCTAAATCCCCAAGTCCCCAGTTAAGAGGAAAGTTAGCATGATGAATGTAAATTTCACGAGCTTTGTCCTTTCCACCATAGCAAAGAGAATTGCGTTTGCAAATATCAACACACAGATTCAAATATTCTACTAGAGCGATTTTATAAGAACTTTTTGTAAACCAGAGGGTGTGAAAATACAGTATTTAACAAAGGAGAAAGTGGGGCTTATACATTCCCCAAAACTGCAGGGTGAGGGTGTTTTCAAGGGCTGGTGGATTTCCAGGGGAAAAGAAAAATAAGATTAGTCCACCTCATATAGTCTAAAATGTTTCGAGAAAAGTAAGACACTCACAGCAATGTCTCTCAACCGGCTTCCTTATAAACAGCAGAGAAACTGCTCACACCCTGGGTCCCCTCCCTCCTGGGTCCCAGCCCCGCAGCTCCTTTCACCTGGAGCCGCCGGGCTTCGGTTCCCACCACCGCGCTGCTGACTGTGACTTTCCCAGGCCGCTCCGGAGTTTTCAGGTCTCCGCGGTACCCGCCGTGCCCTCCGCACCCAGATCTGCAGCACAGGATTCCACACCATGCAGGACCCGGAGCAACGACAGGGAACGGGGACTGGGCACTTCTATCTGCTGCTCCTCAGTCCACTTCCTGGTCCTTGCTCATTAGGTCTCCCAGCTTCCGTTTACGTCACTAATCTAAACCCATCCATTTTCCATCCTTCCCCTATGACCCACCAAAGTGCCGCATCCTCCCAACCGCTGTTTTAGGACTAGTGTCCCCTCCCACTGAGACCTGTTCCTTCCACACAGCTGCAGCTGTCAGGCTGCCCAGGACCCGCTCTGCACAGACTCCACACACGCTTGCTGCCAGCCTAGACCAGAGCTGCATCCAGGAGGACGCTGCACCTCGGTATCTGACCCCACAGTGAGCTCTGAAACCTTCAGACAAAAGACAGGCATAACCTCGACTTGACAACCAGCCTCCCAGGCTTCAAGTTGCACCAAAGGATAACCGACTAAATTCAGAAAGGTGGGTCCCAAAATATCCAATATCCCAGTTGTGACTGGGGTAGAGATATTACAGGAACTTGGGATTTGAAAAGAAATAGGTGTCTCAAGAAGTCAGTGGTCAGTGCATTGCAAACAGCCCAGGGTTGAGTTTATCCCTCTCTGTACATCTTTCATCAACTCATGCTTAAGGTTCTTTTGGATAAAACTTTTTTTTTTTTTTTTTTTTTTTTTTTTGTGGTGAATACCTAGACTCTTTGCTGTCCTAGAGGCCAGAAATAAGTAAGGTATGTGGACCCAGTCCTTAAAAACATCAATTAATCCTTCCCATATGTCTAAGGCTCTGGGAATATTGTGGACGATGACCAGAAAAGGAAATAAGAACAGAAAGAAGGAGGAAGAGCTAAGACATGCTCAGTGGTAAAGAGCACTGACTGCTCTTGCAGAGGACCTGGGTTCAATTCCCAGCACCCACATGACAGCTAATAACTGTCTATAACTCCAAGATCTGACACACTCATGCAGACATACATGCAAATAAAAATAAAGTATAAAAAACTAAAATAAAACAAATGAACAATCAATAAAACCGTAACAAACAAATTATGTACCGATCAGGGAATGCAGACTAGGCATTCTTTAAGCTTCCATATCACCCTAATTAAAATGGCCAACATTAGGAATAGAAATGCTAAAGAAGGTTGGTATAAATGTGGGGAAGGAAGCCATATACTGCTGTGGGAGTGAGAACCAGAAAATCAATATCTGAAATCAGTCTAGATGTTTAAACAAATAAAATGAATAAGTGAAATAAGAAAAAGTACTGTGTGACCCAATTATGATAGATATGTGACACTATTCCTGTGGAAACCACGGCAAATCAAAGTGGAAACCAACAGTCTAATTGGTGAACCAATGACAATTGTTTCCCTTTTTTTTTTTTTGGGTGTTTATCTGTATGTATGTCTGTGCAGCATGTATGTTCCTAGTTCTAACAGACAAAGAAAGGAGCACTGGATGCCCTGGAGATGAGATTACATATTGAATGTCCGTGTGATGGTGCTGGGAATTCAAAGTGAGTCTTTTGAAAGAGAAGACAGACAGTGCTCTTAATCACTGAGTCATCTCTAAAGACAAGTTGACCAGTGGGTTTTACTGGGGAAACTTGCAAGAGTGTGGGTGAGGAGTTACTGATAGAACCCTAAAGGACCCAATGACAGCAGCATCACCCCGTAAGGGTGATGGCTAATGAAGCTGGAAACCTGGGGATCACTCCAGGCAGCTCAAGGGTGGTTGGAAGTGTCTTTCAAGCCACTCACTACCTCCTCCAGGCAGCTTGTCTTGTCTCATCTGATCCAGACAACTCAACGGCTGTCTGCCTGGTGACTGGTCTGAGCATCTTCTGTGCAGGTCAGCTTGTCTGACAGTGTCAGCAGCCCTTACTGATTATGTATGATTGAGGCAAGAGGGTACTAGTGAAACTTGTCTTTTGTGTGACTTCCTGAAGCTATTAAGCTTTCTATTTCTGTTTGAGGATGTTTTCTGCAGGATGGAATATTTGACCTTCCCTTTTTGCCATGGCACTCAACCTTGTGTCATGTTCCCTTTGGGGTCGCATATCAGATATCCTGTTTATCAGATATTTACAGTATAGCAGCAAAATCACAAATATGAAGGAACAAAGTACTTCTATGATTGGGTGTCTCCACAACATGAGGAACTGCATTAAAGAGTTTCAGCATCAGTAAGGTTAAGAACCACTGCTTTAGAGCATCCTGTTCTTTTACCTCTATTATAATATCCTTTTTTAAGGAGATTCCTCTGAGGAGGAAAGGTGCCTTTTTGCTTTTTTTTTTTTTTTTTTTTTTTTTTGAGATGGGGTTTCTCTGTGTTACAGCCCTGACTATCCTGGAACTAACTTTGTAGAACAGGCTGGCCTCCAACTCACTGAGATACGCCTGCCTCTGTCTCCCTAGTCCTGGGATTAAAGGCATGTGCCACTACTGCCCAGTAATGACTTGCCATTTTACAAATGAGCACTTGCCCATAATGTTCACTGATGCTTTATTGACTGCTATGAGGTAAGGAATCACCCTAGATGCCTATCGACTGACACATGGATAAATAAAACTTTTGTGTACTGGCCTTAAACTTTTGTTTTGTGCATTCTAGTCAGACTACATGTAGAATCCAGGAAACTAGGGATGGATTAGTAATGCAGAGATGCAGGAAGAGTGGTGAACATAGGTGATATGAAATTAGAGAGTGGGAATGCTGGGGCCAGAATAGTTCAAATATGTAATACAGTGGTGGAGAAGAGAGGGAGCTGCTGAAAAGTCAACTCAAATGGGATGTTCATGAAGAAGCTACCTAGGAACATATCATTTTGCAGCCCAAGTAAAATATATAATGAGTATGTATTAAATGTTTAACTTGGGATTGGGCAAGAAGAAAGGAGGAAGAATGGGTAGGCTAAACAACAACAACAAAAAGATGTATGGAGAAGCCTTATGAAATTTCACTATCTTACAAATTAAGTACTGGTTATCTACCTAAGAATTACTGGTCAGAGAGGGCCCCATTGTCATTCCAAACAAGACAAGTTCAATGCCAGTGCTCTTTTTTGTTGCTGAAGTCACCAAACTCTTTGGTTGCACAATGGATAAAGCACAGTCTTGAACTTAACAGGGAGCTCTCCCTGCTGGCCAGCATTGTAGCACTGTAAGGTCTTGTGTGGGCTCCTGGCAGACAAAAGATATCAATGGTCTTATACCTCTGGACCTTGCATCAACAATACCTGACACAACTACTTATGGGCATAACCATCCAATCTCTTGATATGATTGACATCAATTCCACAGAAAAGAATTGTTGCCTCATACAGTAAACAGGGTCAAAAACCACGGGATGGGAATTACAGGTCCAAGAGCAGAACCTATTTATATTTTAATGATCATGTTAGTTAATCTGAAACCTAAACATTCTTGTTTATACTTATCAATTTATATTACTCTAAACCTTGGTAAAAATGTCTCCTTGTGAAGCTGGTGGCAGGTGATTCAGAGTTGAAATAGGTGTTCATAAAGCAATTAGAAGGAACAGCTGGTCAGCAAGTAAGACTCCTGTAGGTGGGCGGTTCTACCATCCATGGGACTCTGTAGCATACAAGACCCACTCTATCCCCAAAACCCACCTCACACACCATTCCCTCATCCACATTCCCCTATTGCATTGGCAGCCAATTACATTTGTAGAATTTTGTTTTAATATAAACTCTGATACTTTCCTAATATTTAAACCTCATTAAAGGTTTTCCCAAGTTTCTCATCTTTATGTTTCTATTTTGTATACTGTTGTGATTTGTAAGCAGAGAATACCAAATAAATGCTACATCACACTATTCACAATGTCATTTTTCTCTCCAGTATGAATTTTCTGATGTGCTCAAAGAGTTGAGGACTTAGTAAAAGATTCTCCACATTCCGTACACATGCAAGGTCACTCTCCACTATGAACTCGGCAATGTGTTCTAAGATTTGAAAGCTGGATGAAGTATTTGTCACAATCTTTACATTGGTAAGGTTTCTCTCCAGTATGAATTTTCTGATGTACTCTAAGATATGAGCTTCTAGTAAAAGATTTGCCACATTCCTTACAGAAGTAATGTTTCACTTCAGTATGAACTTTCTGATGTTTTCTTAGATTTGAGTACTGAGTAAAGTATATGTCACAGTCTTTGCATTTGTAAGTTTTCTCTCCAGTGTGAATTTTCTGATGTTCTCTAAGAGTTGAACACTTAGAAAAAGATTTGTCACATTCCTTACAACTGTATGGTTTCTCTCCAGTATGAACTCTTTGATGTCTTCTAAGATGTGAGTCCTGGGTAAAAGATTTGCCACATTGCATACATTTGTATGGTTTCTCTCCAGTATGAATTTTCTGATGTGTTCTAAGTGTTGAGGTTGTAGTAAAGCACTTGTCACATACCTCACATTTGTAGGGCTTTTCACCTGTGTGGATTCTGTAATGTGTTTTAAGATGTGATAATTCAAGAAAGGACTTACCACATTCTTTGCATTTGTATAGTTTCTCTAGAGAATGAATTTTCTGATGTCTCCTTAATGATGAATAGTGTCTACAGGATCTGTCACACTCATTGCATTTGTAAAGCTTCTCTCCAGCATGCCTTTTGTCTGTATGCATTTTCTGATGGCTATTAAGTGCTGATAACTGAGGAAATGACTTTTCACATTCTCTGCATTTGTAAGGTTTCTCTCCAGTATGAAGTCTTTGATGTGTTTTAAGACTTGAGCACTGACTGAAGGATTTGTCACAAACATTGCACTTGTAGGGCTTCTTTCCAGTATGAATTCTCTGATGCTTTGTAAGAGTTGACTTCACAGTAAAGGATTTGCCACATTCCTGACATTTGTAAGGCTTCTCTCCAGTATGCATTTTCTGGTGGTTTTTAAGCGCTGACAACTGACGAAACGATTTTCCACATTCTTTGCATATGAAAGGTTTCTCCCCAGTATGAAGTCGTTGATGTGTTTTAAGATTTGCACACTGGTTAAAGGATTTGTCACAAATATTACACATGTAGGGTTTCTTTCCAGTATGAATTCTCTGATGTACAGTGAGGCTTGAGGCAGTACTGAAGCATTTCCTGCATTTACCACACTGGTGTGGTGCCTCTCCAATGTAGACTGGTTGTTGCAAAAGACTCTTTGCAAAGATGAAATATTCATCATATTCTCCCTGCCTGTGCTCTTTCTTTGCAGTATAGAATCTCCAATCTTGAATAATGTTGGAATACAAATTTAAAGATTTCTTGAAGTCTTTAGATTGGCAAGGTTCTTCTCCAGTGTGCATGGTTTCATGTCTATCTGGGTTTGATGAGTCAACAGAGGCATCCCTGTGATTACTGCATTTGTAGTTATTAGAGTTTTCTGTAGTTTCACTTGTTCTATAAAGTGCACATGTGGAGGGGTCATGAAGCACTTTGCCAAGTTCATTACACTGACAAGACTCCTTTTCAGTCTTCACATGGTGATGGACAAGATCACATATCCAATAGTTCTCTAGAAAATGATACAATTCAGATTACTAGGGCTTGTTCAAGATTGAACATCTGATAAATGACTGTCTCTTTAAGTGTTCTGTTAACCTGATATTGTTTCAAATAGAGCTCCTAGTAGTCGACATATTCTTTCACTATCATATGGATTCTTACAAAAAAAGAAACCAGAGTGACAGCCTTCGTGGAAGATTAAACAAATATTTGAAGAATCAGTAACTAGTCCTTGGGATGGAAATTACTGACTGATTATATTTAGAATACACATCTCTATTTTTGGATATTTATTTCCTCAGGTATTGATTTTAAAAAAGTGTTAATCCAATCCTAGGTTCACAGTATTCAAACCTACTAATGAACAGCAATCTAGACTACAGTTCAGAATTCCTCTTAAGATTAAAGTCCTATCTAAAAGCATCATAGGGTTTATTTTTCGCTCTAAGAGATACACATTAGATTCTCCAAAAGTAATGGATGCAAACACAGTATCCTGACAGACATCAGATGCTCTAGATCACTTGAGGCAGGATTGTCATGGGCAGCTATTGCTCATTTCTATCATCCACTGTTTGAGCACCACACACTGCTCTCCCTTCCTCCCTCCCTCCCTCCCTCATTTCTTCTCCCCCTCCCTCCCTCCCTTCCTTCCTTCCTTTTGTTTGTTTTTTTGAGACAGGGTTTCTCTGTATTGCTTTGGAGCCTGTCGTGGAACTCTCTCTCTGTAGACCACGCTGGCCTTGAACTCAAAGAGATCCACCTGCCTCTGCCTCCCGAGTGCTGGGATTAAAGGCGTGCACCACCAACACCTGGCTTATACTGCTGTTTCTTAACTTTCTTCATAGGGTTGTTCTAAAGTCTACTCTGTACACCAGTTCCTGAGATTATTTCCCAGAAGGGTATCTGTGTATTCTTCACTGGGAAGAAAATGAAGGATATAATATAAAGATATGCAGAGAAGGAAGGCGATTACAGAATAATCCTACTTCATCTACTCACATTAGAATTTGTAAGATTATTTCAGCTCATTCAAATAAAATAACATTTTGTACTTGGATTAAGTCACCATAACTCAGGTAAAATAAAGCATACATGGCCTACATGGGTCTGCACCAGAACCTCTGCATATATTATAGCTTTAAGCTTAGTCTTAGCATGGGACCCCTTAGTGTGAGAATGAGTGGATCTCTGATGTTTGTGCCTGTTCTTAGGAGTTTTCCTTCTGTTGGGTTACCTTGTCTAACTTCAATATAATGGTTTTTGCTTTATTTTACTATATTTTACTTTGTCATGCTTGGTTGTTATTCCTTAAAAGCCAGTTCTTTTCTAATGAGAGACAGAAAGGGAGTGGACTATGAGGAGAGGGGATATTAGGATAAATGCAAGTTGAAGAGGAAGGGAAAAGGATAATCAGGACATGTGGTGGTTTGAAAGAAAATGGCCTGCATATGGAGTGGTACTATTATGTGTGGCCTTATTGGAGCAGGTATGGCCTTGTTGGAGGAAGTGTGTCACTGTCGGGCGAACTTTGAGGCCTCATATATGCTCAAGCCTATTGACTGCAAAGTATAGTATTCTCAGCTGCCTCTCCAGCACTGTGGCTGCCTACATGCTGCCATGCTCCCAGCAGCCATGCTCCCAGCAGCCATTGTCACCAGCCATGGTGATAACAGCCTAAACCTGTGAAATGCTTTTCATCTTAAGAGTTACTATAGTCACAGAACTAGAAACCCTAAGGCAGAAGTTGGTACCAGGAGTGTGGTATTGCTGTGATAGACCTGAAAATATGGTGGAAATATTGTATGCTATAGAGTTTCTGAATGCATCTTGGAACAAAAATGAAGGGTACATGACAACTCTAAAATGGAAAATGAAAAGAAAACAAGAAATACCAAGAAAAAGTTCTTTTCTATTACTATAACTTCCCAAGTCTCCTGTTTTTTCCAAGACAGCTCAACTGAGAGTTTATAACCTATAAAGTCAGGATACACAAAGGATGAATTAGGAATTCTACAATCAAAATGTTCTCACCCACAGAGACCAGGTTGTTATAATTCTCCAACATCACATCAGTGTACAAAGTCCTCTGAGCAGAGTCCAGGCATTCCCACTCCTCCTGGGAAAAGTCCACAGCTATATCCCAGAAAGTCAACAGACCCTGAAATAAAAAAGTACAGTTTTACCACATGATTTCCTGGATATAAGAAGACTTACGGAAATTAGGGGTGTAGATAATAGAAGAAGATTATGCAAAAAGATGATTTCTAATATAGTTACGTTGTATAAATGGCTTTTCTAACTATAAAAACAAGATAACACAAAACAAGCAGTATACATGAGACAAGACACACATTTAAGGTCTGGACATAGTTATCTATCTCTTATGGATGCTGTGTTTATGTCCCACAGGATCATGGCATATATGTCTCAGAAGGAAAATCTGTGATGAGGAAATGCTGTACTTGTATATCATGCTACAGTGGATCAAAAACCATTTTTAAAAGCAGAAACACAGAACTCTAGAAAACATAGGGAATATCTTTCAAGATACAGGATCGGAATAACTTTTTGAATAGTAAAAACACCAACAGCATAGGAACTTATCCCAAGTACCAACAGATTGGACTACATGAATATAAAATATTTCTGTTTATCAAAGGAAATAATAAACAGAGCACACAGACACCCACAGAATGGAAGAGAATCTGTACCAAAGACACTTTGAATAGGGGCTTATTCCTAGAATTTACAAACAATTTCAAAACTAAAAACCATGGAAATAAAACTAATAATCAGTAAGTGGGTAAATGACCTGAATAGGCACTTTGCAAAAACAGAAACACAAATGGCCAATAAATATTGCAAAAAGTGTTTAGAGTTCCTAAAATACCATCATGGAAATGCAAACTAAAATTATATTCTCACCCCAGTAAGAATGGCATCAATCAATCTGACAACAAATGTTAGAGAGATGAGGAGAGAAAGATACCCTTATTCACTGCAACTGTGTGTGTGTTGCAAATTAATACAGCCATCATGAAAATCAGTTTGAAATTATTGAGAAAATTGAAGCTAGAGCAAATGTATGATAAACTCTTTCACTCCTGGGCATATACCAAGGGAATTCCACACCTCAGTTCAGAGATGTTTATACCACATGTTTATTGCTGCTTTAGTCACCATAGCAAAGTATTGTAATCAATCAAATCATCTATCAATAGATGAATGGATAATGAAAATTATATATATATATATGTATATATATATATATATACACACACACATACATACATACATATTCAGATAAAGAGAAAAATGTAATAAAAATTTTAGGAAAATGGTTGAATTTAGAATATCTAATGAGTTCTTACAGTGTCAAAAAGAACAAATACACATTTTCTCTCATATGTGGAATCAAACAGTGTACACGGGGGTGGGAGGTGGGGACACAGAAGAACATGGAGAAAAAAAGAACAAGAAAGGTTAAATACCAGCAGTTGAGGTAGGACTGAATGCAGGTAATGAACACCTGTGATTAAAAAAAAGAATGATATAAAGCTAATGGGTTTTATAGTTCTAATTCTGTCCCAGGTTTTTTTTTTTTTTTTTTTTGGTTTTGGATGGTAGATAATTACAACAAAATATATTTGATAGTGATGATATAAAATCTCATGTGAGGTCCCAGAGCTTCTGTTCCCAATGACTAACAGTAAAAAAAGTACATTGAGTTGAATAGTCTTTGGGTCTGCTTAATTTCAGTATGTGATTTTTTTTTGTTGTTGTTTGTTTACCACCCTTTTTTGTTTCTTTGCTTGTTTTGTTTTTATAACAAAGTTTTAAAAAATCAGAAGCAGAAAATTAAATGCTTTCAATGTATTAAACTCTAACATTTCTATAACAATAGTAGATATAACCACTGACCTGGGACATGCTTACTGGAGAATCAGCCATTTCTTTCTCTTTCTCTCTTTTCAGTTTCTCTTTCAGGAACAATGAATGGATGGCTTGCTGCCCTTTCATGTAAAGGAATTCAAAAGAAAAAGGGATAATTGATACTGAAAACTGCTAAAGAACAATGTCAACCCACATGAAGACCCAGATAACAGAATCTGGTCAGTGATCTCAATGCCAAGAAAACATATAAATACATAAAAAAAAAAACTGTAAAGAAAACCCACCATCAACCATATTGTTACAATTCAAAAAATACTCTCTAAAAATTAATGGAGACATCAAGATAATCCCAAATTAACACAATTGATTTCACTAAAGATGTACAGCACATATTAACCTTGAGGGAATTATCCATTAGAACATGGAAGTAATAAATTTCATGTGAAGGATAGATAAATACAGGAGAACTGAGAAGTACTCATCCATGGGGAAGACAGTAAATCATTATTATTCACAGAGAAGGCAGAAGAATATTCCCAAATATCAAGCCAACAACAACAACATCAAAAACAAAACCATATGGTACAAAAAACTTTTCAACAAAAATTCTGGCCACTCTGGAAATCAATATGGAGAATCCTCTATTAAACAAACAAACAAACAAACAAACAATCCCTCAACTTAAATAAGTCTAGCACATGACTCAGCTGTTCCATTCCTTGGCATGTACTCAAAGGACTCAACATCCTACTCCACAGATACCTACTTGCTCAGCCATGTTCACCGCTGCTCTACTCACAATAGCTACAAAAAGGAAGAAACCTAATGTCCTTCAACGGACAAATGGACTGTGAAAATGTGGTACATATCACTATGGGATAGTTCAGCTCTAAAGAAAACTGAAATCAGATAGACTTAGAAAAGATCATATTGAGTGAGGTAACCCAGAACCAGAAACACAGCAATCACCAGAACCAAAAAATAACAGTTTGGTCATGTGTCAATGGACAGAAAGCTTTTCTTGAATTGAGGAGACAAAAAACTAATGCAGATATTTTTCTGATACTATAATTCCTTTTTGTTCCTTTTGAGACAGATTTTTTTTTCTATGTAATATAAGCCCATCGGACAAGAGTAAAGACCATTAGCCAAATTCGTTGGTCAACTTAAGCAAGCTTTATTTCCTATAAGGCAGGAGGGTTATCTCCCTAAAGCAGGGTTTGAAAATAAACCATTGAATAAAGGAGAAAGTGGGGCTTATATATCCCCCCAAACTGCAAGGCTTGAGGGTTCTGAAGAGCTGGTGGGTTTCCTGAGGATTTTTGTTAAGTAGGAACTTGGCTGAACATGATTAATTATCTGGCAGAGCATTATCTTATCAGGGTACGGTCAAGCTGAGAGTCAAACTTCATAGGGTGGGGAGCATGTCAAATTCCAGAAACAGGTTAAAACACGGTCAACGTGAATTTGGCAGAAAACAGAAAGGAACTTCTTCTGACTTTACAACAAAATGGTTTCCTTTTCTTAAGATGGAGTCAGGTTGGTTCATCATTAGTCCTAGCTGTCCTGAAAGTCACTCTTTCAGGCTGGCATCAAATTCAAAGATCTGTGTCAGCCTCCAGGGTGCCAACATCACCTGGCTCATAATGCCTTTTCTAACTGTGACACCTCAAACATACCGTGTCCTCCAGACCTCAGAGTACACTAAGCTTTTCTCAAATTCACAGAGATCTACCAACCTCTGCTTCCCGAATGCTAGTATTGAAGACCTGTGCAACCAGGTCGGGCCAAGATACTTTTCCGAATGCTGTGTTTACATTACAGATTGGGTATGTCTCAGATGAAAAATTACCGAGAGGTAAAAAGTTTACGTTTAAACGTTAATGTTAACAACCAACTCGCCAATAGATATTTTCATACTCAGTTACACCTGCAGCCATTAATTTCATGATTAATATCTAAAGACTCTCCAGAGATGCTAAGTCCCCAACTATAACATGGGAAGTTAGCATTAATGTTAATTTTTGAAGAGCATTGTCTTTTCCACCACAGCAAAAAGAATTCCGTTTGCAAATATCAAGAAATGAATTTTAAAAATTCTACTAATATTCTACTATTTTTATAACAATATTTCCACAATCAGAAGATCGGTTTTAAAAACCAGGCTTATTCCACATGATCTATTGTATACCAAGGGAAAGACACTCACAGCAGAACTAAAGAGCCCACTTCCTTAAGTGACAGCAGAGAAACTGCTCGCACCCCCGGTCCCCTCCCTCCTGGGTCCCAGCCCCGCAGCTTCTCTCACCTGGGAGGTTCCAGGGCCGCCGGGCTGCGGTTCCCGCCACTGCGCTGCTGACTGTGACTTTCCCAGGCCGCCCCGCGCGGAGACTGCGGCTCCGGAGTTTTCAGGTCCCCGCGGCACCCGCCGTGCCCTCCGCATCCAGATCTGCAGCACAGGATTCCACACCGTGCAGGACCCGGAGCAGCGACAGGGAACGGGGACTGGGCACTGCTGTCTGAGGCTCCTCAGTCCAACTTCCCTGGTCTCCCTCACAGTTTTCAGCTTTCCACATTCTTTCCGGACTTCTGTTTCCGGTTTAGTGTCCCCTCCCCACTGAGACCGGTCCCTTCCACACAGCTGCAGCTGTCAGGCTGCCCTGGACCCGCTCTGCACAGACTCCCCACTCGCTTGCAGCCAGCCTAGACCAGAACTGCATCTGGGAGGACGCTGCACCCTGGATCTGACCCCACAGTGAGCTCTGGAACCTTAAGACAAAAGAGAGGCAGCATAGCCTCGACTTGACTGCCAGCCTCCCGGGCTACATTCTTACACCAAACGATAACAGGCTAAATTCAGATGCCAGCGCCCCATCGCTAACAGAAACATGACAAACAAAAACCAAACGCTGCAACTGTGCCTTGGGGAGAGACATTTCAGGAACTTGGACTTTGAAAATAGGTGTCTCAAGAAGTCAGCGGTCAGCCCATTGCTAACAGCCCAGGGGTGAGTTCATCCCTCGCTACGCTGCTCTCACCACTAGATGGAGGTATTGTCTTACTAACTCAGAAACGAGTAGATTTGTGCCTCATGATAAAGGTTCTTCATAGCTAGAATATAGTTTTTTTTTTTTTTTAATGCAATGGTGAATGCCGACTTTTGAAAGGTATGTGACCCCAGTCCTAAAAAAGTCGGAGACTGGGGGAACACTGAGGACGAGGATGAGGGAAGGAAATGAGAAGGAAAAGAGGGAGGGCCAAGACACGCCATTCTCTAGATTCCATACAGCTGTAATCAGTAATCAACAGCAAGTGTACTTAACCCGCATTGACCTCACACTAGACCACAGTCAGTCTAGGAAAGGGAAAGGCTCACAGGACCCCACTCTATCTCTCAAATGTTGTCTGTGGACGGATTGTAGGAGAACAATCACTGCCTTTAGCCACAGTCCTCTGCTGAGCCCTGTTGGCAGCTTTCCTCAGCAGATATCCCATGACTCTGGCATCTCTAACATCTTCGGGTCTCCATGGCAATCCAGGCTTCTTCTTCACAGCTTCACACAATCTCTCTGGTCCTCCATTCAGGGACACCACTGACACATGTCTGGCTTCAGTAGAGGAAGTTTCCACAACTACTTTCTTCTATCCTTGAAGCCAGAGCTATTAGGGCAAAGGTGCCTAGTTCTCTTTCTTACTGGGGCTGGAACATGGCCATGGCCCCTTCTTTAAATTACATCTTCACCAGCTTTATGTATTTGATAGTCTCCTTTACTGCTTAAGGTTGTCTGTTCTAGAACTTGCTCTGCAGACCAGACTGGCATCAAACTGAGACATCTGCTTGCCTCTGCCATCTCTGTGCTAGGATTAAGCTTTCCTTTAATTCCATTTCAGTTAGAAACTTTTCTGGGTGGGATCTTGCTCTGAGGTCACCACTCCCTTTTATTCCATTTCTTAATCTATTTATCTCCTTGAACACAGAATTTAATTCTATTCAGGGTGCTCCTTTTCATTATAAATCTTCTCTAGAATTATAGAGTCTATGCTAGGCTGTTTTGAGTTTTCTTCTGCCACCCAAATTAATGCAAACTCTTTACTCTCTTGCAGAATCTTTGGATAAGGGCAAAAGGCACATTCTTTACCAAAATATCATAAGAACAATCTCAAGGCCACATACTAACATCCTTCTTCACAGTACCACTGTCTTCTATTCTCCTACAAGGATGCCCCATTAATCAGCACTTAAAACAGACAATTGCTTTCCTAACCCACAATCCTAAGGTCTATATTCCTTCAAACAAAAGCACTCAGGCCTCTCCCAACAATATCTAAGTCCCTGGTATCAACTGCTATCTTAGTTAGAGTTTCTATTGCTGTTAAGAGACCCTATAACCATGTTACAATGGGAAACATTTAATAGGGATGGCTCACTTAATAGTTCAGAGGTTTAGTCCATTATTGTCACTATGGAAAGCAAGGCAGCATGCAAGTAGAGGTAGTACTGAAGGCAAGAGTCCTTAGATCTTGATCCAATGGCAAAAGGAAGTGGACTCAGACACTGGGTCTTATCTTGAGCATATGAGACCTCAAAGCCAGCCTGACCAGTGATACTTCCTCCAAAGAGACCACACCTACTCCAATAAGGCCAGACCATACCTTTTGTGGACATTTTCTTTCATATCACTACAACCACCATGTCTGGCATTACTATGAAACTTAGGATATTGAACAAGATGTTTTTATTATAGATTTTCCCAGGTAGTTGGATGGTATAGTGGTTAAGAGAACTGGCGGCTCCTCCAGAGAACCAGGTTTTAGTTGCCAACACATACAGCAGACCACAATTATCTTTAACTCCACCTCAGTGGATCTGATACCCTCTTTTGGATTGCACAGGCAGGGGGCATGTATATGATGTACAGACACACATGCAGTCAAAACATCTAGATATTTTTTAAAAAAGATTTTCACACAGAATTGCAGAATTTTAATTTAATACAAACCATGGTACTTTCCAAGATTTAAAACTTTAAAGGCTTTTACAAGTTTCTAATCTTTGTTTCTTTTATGTATACTGTTATGATTTGTAAAAACAGAATACAAGATAAATGCTATGTCATTTAATTTACAACAGTATTTTTCTCTTCAGTATGAATTTTTTGATGTGCTCGAAAAATTGAGGACTTAGTAAAAGATTTGCCACATTCCTTACAGATACAAGGTCTCTCTTGAGTATGAACTCTGTAATGTGCTCTAAGAGTTGAGCACTGGGTGAAGGATTTGCCACACTCTTTACATTTGTAAGGTTTTTCTCCAGTATGAATTTTCTGATGTACTTTAAGATAAGAGTTGCTAGTAAAAAATTTGCCACATTCCTTACAGAAGTAAGGTCTCTCTTTAGGATGAATTCTTTGATGTTTTCTCAGGTTTGAATACTGGGTAAAGGATATATCACAGGTTTTGCATTTGTAAGTTTTCTCTTTAGTATGAATTTTCTGATGTGCTTGAAGAGTTGAACACTTAGTAAAAGATTTGTCACATTTCTGACATCTGTAAGGTTTCTCTCCAGTATGAACTCTCTGATGCCTTTTAAGATGTGCATTCTGAGTAAAGGATTTGCCACATTCCCTACATTTGTAAGGTTTCTCTCCGGTATGAACTCTCTGGTGCATTTTAAGACTCGAGTTCACATTAAAGGATTTGTCACATACTCCACATTTATAAGGCTTTTCCCCAGTATGAACTCTCTGATGTCTTTCAAGATTTGAGCACCAGGTAAAGGATTTGTCACAAACATTGCACTTGTAGGGTTTCTCTCCAGTATGAATTCTCTGATGTAAAGTGAGGCTTGAGGTAGTACTGAAGCATTTATCATATTTACCAAACTGGTGTGGTTTTCTTCCTATGTAGATTGCTTGTTGCCAAAGATCAAATGTGGAGTTGAAATAGTCATTATATTCTCCTTGCCTGTGCTTTTTCTTTGCAGTGTACGTTCTTAGATCTTGAGTAATATTGGAACACAAATTTAAAGATTTCTCCCATTCTCTAGATTTGCAAGGTTCTTTTTCATGTCTATCTGGGTTTGATGAGAAAAGAAAGGCATGCCTATGATTACTGCATCTGTAGTTATTAGAGTTTTCTGTAATTTCACTTGTTCTATAAAGTGCACATGTGGAGGGATCATGAAGCACTTTGCCAAGCTCATTACACTGACAAGACTCCTTTTCAGTTTTCACATGGAAACGGACAGGATCATATTTGCAATAGTTCCCTGGAAATAAGTAGAAGTCATATTAATAGGGCTTATTCCAAGATTAAATGACTGTCTCCCTAAGTTCTCTCATGATATCAGTCACCAGCAACTATTCAGAATAAAGCTTACTGTAGTTGACCTTTTTTTTCACTATAATTATATGGATTTTCACAAAAAGCAGTAATAGCCTTTGGAGAAGATGAAACAAATGATTGAGGAATCAGTAATTAGCTTTGGGATAGAGGTCAGTCATTGATTATGTTTAGAGTATGTTTCTATTTTTATGTTGTTTTCTTTTTCTTTTTCTCGGAAATTAATGGAGAAGAGTTTAATGCCATCCCAGGTTCACAGTGTTTGTACCTACTAATGAACAGCCATGAAGAGTACTGCTCATTTTAAGATTAAAGGCTTACTTAAAAGAATCAAAGGGCTTATTTTTCTTTTTCAGATACCATGAAACAGTTCTTTCTTACTATCAAACTTTGCCTTGCCTCCTCTTATTTGAGAGCTCACAACCTTTGAGTCAGTACAAGCCAAATGTTCTCACCCACGAAGACAAGGTTGTTGTAATTTTCCATCATCACATCAATGTACAAAGCCCTCTGAGCAGAGTCCATGAGTTCCCACTCGTTCTGGGAGATGTCCACAGTCACATCTCTGAATGTCAACAGACCCTGAAACAAAAAATATAGTTTGATTGGAGAGAGCTCTTTTTCGACATAAGGATATTTAAGCAATTAGGGATGTTGATGAGTGAAGACCATTACCCAAAATGATGATTTCTAACATAGTCACACTATATAATGAATGTTCTAACCCCGTGAAAACAAGATGACACAATAATCTTACAAACAATATATACAACACAAGAAACACATCTGAGGTCTGGCTACGGTTGTCTGTTATGCGTGCTATGTTTGTGTCATGAGGGATAAGAATGTACATGTCTCAGAAGGAAAATATGTGATGAGAAAATGTGCTTTTAAATACTGTACCTATAGGTAATGCTACAATGGATCAAAACCTAACTGAAAACCAGGAACAAAGAAACCTACAAAACATAAGGAATACCAAGGAGAACACCGGGATGGTCAACGACTTCTGGATTAGAAAGAACACCAAAAGCACAGAAACCGACACAAATGTCAAAAGACGGAACTATATGAAAATAAGGAGTTTCTGTTTGTCAAAGGAAACAACCAGCAGAGCACACAGACACCAATAGAATAGGAGAGAATTTGGGCCAGTGACACTTTGGATAGCAGCTCATACCTAGAATTCACTGAGAATTATAGAAATTAAATTCCAAGGACACAAAACTGCCAATCAACAAATGGGCCAATTAAGTAAATAGATACTTTTCAAAGACAGAAACACATGGCTAGTAAATGTTGCAAAATGTCTTCAGGATCCCTCTAATGCCACAACAGAAATGTAAACTCACACTATTTTGATAGACTGCTTCACCTCAGGCAGAATGGCTATCACCAACCAATCTGACAACAAATGTTAGAGAGAATGTGACAAGAAAGGAACACTTATAAACTGTTGTTGTGTTGTATATGTGAGTGGGGGAACAAATTAGTAAACTCAAATGAAAATCAGCTTGAAGATTATTAAAAACTTAGAAACAGAACTAAAAAATGACCCTAGGTCTTTCACTTCAGGACATATACCCAGAAAACTTGATAGCCCACTATAGAGATATTTACTCCCCATGTTTACTGCTGCCCATTCAGCATAGCACACTAAACATCCATCAACAGATGGATGGATAATGAAAATGGAACAATGAATGGATAATGACAGTGCGATATTAGTCAGCTAAAGAGAAAAGTATAATAAAATGTGAAGGAAAATGTATGGATTTACAATGTGTAATATTGAGAGGCCATCCAGTCAGTGTTAGAGGAAATTATGATTTCCCTCATATGCAGAATCTAGCCAATGATATGTGTTTATGGAAACAATGTACATGTGGCCACAGTAGAACATGGAGAAAGGACAAGAAAGGAGGCTCCAGAGTCTCTGTTCCCAATGACTATTCTAATTGTATAACTGTATAAAGTACATTAAGTTGTATAGTCTTTGTGTCTGGTTAATTTCAGTATATGACATTCTTGTTATTTGCAACTTATTTTATAATGAAATTAAAAAAATATCAGAAGCAGAAAATTAAAGGCTTTGATGTCTCCAAATACAACATTTCCAGAAAACATAATTGACATGACCAATGACCTGGGACATATGTCCTGTAGAATCAGCCATTTCATGTTGTTTCTCTTCATTAAGTTTCTCTTCCAGGAACAATAGATGGCTTTCTGAATTAATATCTTGCTGTCCTTTCATATAAAGGAGTTAAAAAAAAAAGCAAAAATTAGTAAGCAAAGCTTTTACATAACAATGTCAAGCCACATGAAAAGTCCCAAGAAATAGAATACTACCATGTATCTGGTCAGTGGTCCCAAAGCCAAGGGAGCATGGAACCATATTTAAACCTTATGGAAAAAAAAAAAAATCACTGTCAACCATACATATTGCTGCACCCAGAATAATACTCTCTTAAAATTGATGGAGACCACAGAGACAGAAGACCTGAACAAGGGGGAGCTAATGGACACACAGACTGATAGCTGGGAAACCAGCATTGGACCGACTCAGATCCCTTGAACATGGGTCTCAGTTAGAAGGCCTGGGCAGTCTAAGGGACTCTGACAGTGGAACCAGGATGTATCCTGAAAGGACTTTGGGTGCACATTCCCCATGGAGGGATACTCCCTTAACCTAGAGGCAGGGGTGAGGGCCTAGTCCCTACTCCAAATGACTTCATCCCTCCAGGAAGGCATCACTCACCCTGTGGAGTGGGGGAGGGTGGGATGGGGGGTAAGGGAGGGAGTGAGGGAAGAAGAGGGAACTGGGATCAATATGTAAAATAAAAAAAACAAAAAATTGATGGAGACCTAAGTGCATTTGAGGATAGTCATGAATTAACATTGGACAATTCAATTCACTAAAGCAACAAGCTTTAATAAATTCAAAGACATATATACACAGGAGAATCAGAGGAATTATCCATGAGAACATAGGAAATAATGAATTTCATGTGAAGAATAGATTAATACAGGAGAAATGGAAAGACAGCAAACCACTAATTTTCACACAGAAGAAAAAAAAAAAAAGGACCCCCAAAACCAACCTGTCACAACACCAAAAGCAAAAGCATAGGGAATAAAAACCCTAGCAGCAAATTATCTAGCCACTCTGGAAATCAATATGAAGAATCCTCAATAAAATAAACAAACTCTCAAGTTAAATAAATTCAGCACATAATCCAGCTGTCCCATTCCTTGGCATATGGTCAAAGGACTCCACATCCTACTCCACAGATACTTGCTTGGCTATGTTCATCACTGCTCTACTCACAACAGCTACAAAAAGGAAATAACCTAAATATCCTCCCACTGACAAATTGATAGTAAAAATGTGGTACATTTACATTATGGATTATGATTCAGCTGTATAAAAAAACAAACAAACAACAACAACAACAAAACAAACAAATCATGAGCTTGGATGGAAAGAAAATATTGAACGAGGTAACCTGAATAAGAAAGACAATCATTGCATAATCTCTCTCATAGGAAATTCCTAGCTCCAAATCTTCAGATGCGAGCACACAATCTGGAGTGACTGCAGTAACCAGAAAAGAAAAAAAAAAAAAAAAAAAAAAAAAAAACAGATCATGGTGGCATGTGCAGGACTAGCAGGGATAGGAGTAAGAGGGAACAAGTGATCTGAAGGAGGAAATGAATAAACATTGGGGGGGGATGTAGAAGGACAGATATAAACACAGGAGGGTAAGGATGTCTAAAAAGTCATAGGGAATCATACTATTATCCATGTACCAAAAAATCAGCCTAATCTCTAACTCCATTCTAAATATTTACCCTTAAAGTCACAGATAACTGTAATCCTCAGCCTTTATCAAGGAAAATTACTTTAGCAACACATGGAGATTATTACAAAATATATCTTTTGTACCTAAGGCTCAAGGATCACTGAGAAAGAGGGGTGGGAACATTGTAAGAGCCAGAGGAACATGGTATTTGTTGAAACTGTATTCTAGAAATGCCAGAAACAAAACAGAAAAAAAAAAAAAAAATGGCAGAAATAGATAATATATGCCTGTGTAAAGTCACGATTTTGGATCACCTACATGAAAATACAAATGACCAGAATGGCTTTATAATATCTTCTGTCATTACTAGTCACATCCTTTTATAATACATTAATAGAAATGAAAACCATTTAATATTGGCACGAAGACATGATCAGTGATATAAATGAATATGGGCAGTATGACTCACATGCATACTCAAAATTCCATTTGCCTTAAGTATCAATTATTTTGCAGAACCTTCTCCTTTCTACATACCTTTGCTTCATACCAATTACAGGTATGCTACATCAGGACAATAAGTAGGTTTTATGTAGTAGAGGCTTCCAGAATTATTTCTATTGAAACATAATGTGTCAAAACTGATTTCCTGTCCCACTCCCACATTCACTTGAACCTTTTTCTACCCCTTCACCAATCCTACACCATACCTGGATTCTTAGCTACTGTCTCCTCTCTTTCCATCTTCCAGGTCCCTTTGTTCTGCTGCACAGGTGAGCAGGTCTGGGTGATCAGTGAGCCCTGCATATGAGAAAGAGATTGTTCAGTAGCCTGGATTTCTTACAGTGTTGTGCTCAGTAGATGAAGAGAACACTAAATAAAGGATTATACAAATGATTCCCCAATTGTATTCATTTTCAATTAGTGTAACTAGAACCCCACTTCCAATCACAGCTCAGTCAAAATTTGGGGGCAGAAATGGAACTAATGATTGGGATAAGTGTATTGTACACTAGCGAGGTTCTGAATTTATCATAGACCCGAGATGATGGAAGCCTTCACCTCCTAAAGGGACACACAGGAAGAAGAGAGAACATTTCATGAAGATTTTCATTGTTCCTCTGGGGAGTTCACTATACTCTGTGAGACAAAGCTCACACACTTTCAGACTAATTTACCAAGAAACCTTGAGGAGCAGCAAGGGTGACTGCAAGGAAATTATTCTCACCCAAGAAAAGAGACTGTTGCAACTCTGTAACATCCACTCTCTGTAGAAAGCCTTTGGGGTTTGTAAGCTGTATGTGACATCACATGCATAGCCTATCCCTTTACAGTCTCTTACCTTCTTGCTATTTTTAAGGTTTGACTCTAGAATGAAGATTCTGAGGGTAAGTTTTATTAGAGCATTTTCTTGTTTCTTTCATAATGAATTCTTTTTATGACTACATTTCAGAACCAGGTAAAGGGTTTATCCAAATGAATGCCTTTCAGGGGTGGAATTTACAATGAACAGCAACACTTAGAAATTATATATACATGGTACACTTTTATATGGTTCCTCAGAATTATGAGTTTTGTGATGTACAGCAAAATGGGAGTACTTTGTCACTTTTTTTTTGTTAATTCATTTTGTCCTTATTATGAATTATTGTTGTTGTTATTGGGATAGTTTATGTAGTCCTGACTGTCCTGAAACTAACTATGTAGACCATAATGGCCTCTGACTCAGAGATCTTCCTGCCTCTCTGTCCTAACTGCTGGGATTAAAGGTGTGTATTACCTCACCTGGCATTATTATGAATTTTTGGATGTTGAAAAATATAAATGGTTTTATTACAGAATTTTCCAAGGGCAGGAGATAAGGCTTAGTGGTTAAGAGCAGTGGGTGCTCTTCTAGAGGATGGGGTTCAAGTCCCGACACACATAGCAGCTCACGATTTCTGTTAATCCATCTTCAGGGGACCTGATGTACTCTTCTGGCTTCATATATGCCCAGGCACCAGGCAGACATGCACAGTACAGAAATATTTGCATTCAATGCCACCATACACAGAAAAAAAAAAAAAAAAAAACAAATCCAAAACAACAATAAAAAAACCCTTCTGTAATTTTGCAGAATTTAATTTTAATATAAACCTGTGATATTTTTATAAGATTTAGTACTTCATTAAAGGTATTCATGTCTCTTTATGTTTTTATCATGTATATGTAAGCAGAGAATTCCAGACAACTGCTATGTCACATTCTTTACAATAATATGTTTCTCCCCAGTATGAATTTTCTGGTGTGCTCTGAGGTAGGAGCACCTAGTAAAAGACTTGTCACATTCCTTATTAATGTACTGTCTTTCTCCACTATGAACTCTCTGCTGTGTTCTTTTAAACTATGAGTTTTATATATAGGTAAAGGAGTTTTCATATCCTCTACATTTGCAAGGTTTCTGGTATTCATTTTCTAATGTGCTCTAAGAGTTGAGTTTAGAGGAAAGGATTTGTCAAATACCTCGCATTTCTCTCCAGTATGGATTCTGTAATGCCCTTTAAGGCTTGACTTTTCAATAAAGGACTTTCCATATTCTTTGCATTTGTAAGGCTCCTCCCCAGTATGCAATTTCTGATGGCTCTTAAATCCTGACAACTGACGAAATGACTTTCCACATTCTTTGCATTTGTAAGGTTTCTCCCCAGTATGAAGTCTTTGATGTATTTTAAGAGTTGAACGCTGAGTAAAGGATTTTTCACAAAAGTTGCACTTGTAGGGCTTCTTTCCAGTATGAATTCTCCGATGTACACTGAGGTTTGAGGAAGTACTGAAGGATTTTCCACATTCTTTACACTGGTGTTGTTTCTCTCTAATACAGATTGTTTGTTGCATAAGACTGTATGCAGAGCTGAAACAGTCATCATATTTTCCCCGCCCATGGTGCTTCTTTGCAGTATATAGTCTATGATCTTGAGCAATGTTGTAGCACATATTTAAAGATTTCTCACAGTCTTTAGGTTTACAAAGTTCTTCTCCACTGAGTATGCTTTCATGCCTATCTCGGTTTGATGAGTCAACAGAGGCAATCCTGTGATTACTATATGAGTAGTTATTAGTGTACTCTGTAGTTTCACTTGTTCTATGAAGTGCACATGTGGAGGGGTCATGAAGCACTTTGCCAAGCTCATTACACTTGCAAGACTCCTTTTCAGTCTTCACATGGTGATGGACAGGATCGCATATCCAATGGTTATCTGAAAATGAGTACAAGTTAGATTAATAGGGTTTGTTCTGAGATTAAACATTTGGTAAATAACTTGCTGCCTAAGTTCTTTCTTAAGATAAATAAACCAGCAACTACTTTGAATAGAGCTCACAGTAGTTGACTCATTCTTTCACTATAATTATAAGCATTTTCACAAAAATAGAGGGATAGGCTTCAAGAAACTTGAAACAAATAATTGAGGAATCAGATATTAGCCTTGGAACAGAGTTCATTGACTGATTATATTTAGAATACATGTCTCTATTTTTAAATATTTTTTTTCTCAGAAATTGTTGAAGAAGAGTATAATATAAGCCAACCCCAGCTTCAGTCTTTGTACTTACTAATAAACAGCAATGAAGATTATAGTTCAGAAGACCCAACGCCTTTTAAGATTAAAGGCTTACTGAAAAGCAAAAGGTCCTCCCCCCCAAAAAAAAATTCCACTTAAGATTCTTCAAAAATAATGGATGCAAAAGGAAGGATTCTGCCAGACTCTATCAGAGGCTCTCTAGATCAACAGTTTTCAACCTGTGGATCATGACCATCTAAATACTATGTATTTCCAATGATCTTAAAAACCGAGGCATCACTTAGTAGCAAATTTTTTCAAGAAGTAGTACTCAAGATAATTTTATGGTTGGGGGTCACCACAACGTAAGCAAGTGCATTATAGGGTGGTAACATTACCAACACTGACAACTGCTGCTCAAGACCATTTGAGGCAGGGCTGTCACAAAAAGCCACTGCTTACTTCTATCCACTACTGACATGTAAGCAGGTAGGCAACTACATAATTATCCTACTTCACATTAGGCTTATAATTTGTAAAATTATTCCAATCTAATTTTAACACTGAAATAAAATTGCATTTTGTACAAGTACTGTTACCATAATTCAGGTGCAATAGACACAATGTCTTCTAACATTTTCAACAGGCCACATGCATCCTGGGGCCAGGACACTACACTAATTTAAATTATCAGAAATCCTTTCAAATGAAATTGAATAAAGCAAAAAACATTTTCAACTCTTGTTTTCTCGTTCACTTGAAGCCATCACTGTTTCTTGCTCATTCTCTAGCCCACCTGGTTATGGGCTCCTCTTCACATTCCAGGGCAATCTCATTTGCACCAGACAGGAGTCCAGGTCTACCTTGCATACAATAATCCATGTGTTGTTGTGTGAGGCAGCCCATGACCCATCCTAGAATTTTTAGAAAGAATACAGTTGTCTAACACAGTACTGTGCTCAGTACATGAAGAAAACACACAGTACAGGAATATAAGAATGATTTCCCAATGATATTTCCTATCAGGATCTTTAGCATATTGAGGGAGAATTTTAAGTTTCCACATCCTCAGTTTTCTCACAATTAAAACAATGTCAAGCACAATGATGAACAGTGCGCTTTAAGATGGGATGGAAATACTACTATATGCTACTGAGCTTCTGAATGCATTGTGGAACTAACATGAAGTACATGACATCTCTGAGATGAAAAGTATTTTAAAAAAGCAAAAACCAAATACCAAATTCCAATAAAAAGAACTTGTTTACTAATACCACACACTTCCTAGTCTCCAGTTGTTTCCAAGACAGCTTAACAGACAGTTCACAACCTATAAAGTTCGTACATACAAAGCCTGATTTAGGAATTCTATAAACAAAATGTTCTCACCCACAGAGACCAGGTTGCTACAATTCTCCAGCATCACATCATTGTACAAATCCCTCTGAGAAGAGTCCAGGCATTCCTTCTCCTGGGAGATGTCCACAGTCACATCCCTGAACGTTGATAGACCCTGAGACAAAAGGTAGAGCTTGATCAAGTGACACTAGGCAGAGTTCTTTTCTGGATATAAGGAGACTTAAAGAAATTAGAGATGCAAATAAGCAAAGCAAAAAAGATTACTTCTAATACAGTCACAATCTACAATGAATCTTCTAACTCTGAAAACAGGATGACAAGAAATCTGGCACTAGGGAAATGTCTAGAGACCCACAAGGATGATCTCAGCTAAGAATCTAAGCAATAGTAGAGAGGCTACCTTACATGCCCTTCTCCTATAATGAGACTGATGACTACCTTAATGCCCATTTTCTATGGAGGGATACTCTCTCAGCCTAGACACACAGGGGAGGGTTTCTATACAACATCAGAAACAATCAGCAGAGCACAGAGACATTTTCCCACATAATGGGAGAAAATCTGTACCAGTGACACTTTGTTACCAACTTTGTTATATATTCACTAAGAAATATAGAAATTAAATTCCAAGGATATTAAACTTCTAATCACCAAATGGGCAAATGAATCAGATAGACACTTTTCAAAGACAGAAACATAAATGGCCAATGAATATGGCAAAAAAAAAAAAAAAAAATGTTCAGGATCCCTAAATTTCCCCCAGATAAATGCAAACTAAACCTACTTTGATAAACTGTCTTACCCCAGGGATAATGGCCATCACCAAATAACCTGACAACAAATACTATAGAGGCTAAGGAGGGAAAGATATGCTTATTCACTGTTGGTGTTGTAAAGGGGTGTGCAAACTAATACCCTCAAAGGGAAATCAGTTTGAAGATTAATAAACAAAGATAGAACTAATGTATGTTCCAGCTATTTGACTCCTGGACATTTATCAGGAAACTCCACAGGCCATCATAGAGATATTTATGCCTGATGTTAACTGCTGCTTATTCACTGAAACAAAACATAGGAATCAACCTAAATGTCTATCAATAGATGAATGGATAATGAAAATGGTATCGATATATAGTCAAATACCATTCACCTGAAGAGAAACATACAGTAAAAATATGCAAGAAAATGGTTGGACTTTGAACGTGTTAATAGTGAGGCCATACAGCGTCAGAAAGAAATTACATTTTCCCTCTTATACAGAATCTAGCCAGTGATATGTATTTATGGGCAAAATATACATGTGGACACAGTAGAACATGGAGAAAAGAGAACAAGAAACATTAAATGTTAAATCAGGGGTTGAGGTAGGATTGAATGCAGTTATAAAAAAGGCTATAAAGCTTTTCTAGTTCTAATTCTGTCACACTTTTTTTGTTTTGTGGTAGACAAATACATCAAACACATATTGGATATTAAAACTATAAAATCCCATGTGAGGCTCCAGGCTTCTGCTCCCAATGACAAACTGTATAAAAAAAGTACACTGAGTTGTATAGGCTTTAGGGCTGGTAAATTTCAGTATGTGACATTTTTGGTTGTTTGTATGTTTGTAATATTTTTAATGAGAAAGTTACAAAAATGTCAGAGGAAGAAAATATCTCAAACTATAACATTTCCATAGATAAAGGAGACATGACTACTCACCTGGGGCATGTTTACTGTAGAATCAGCCATTTCTGTTTCTCTTCAATGAGTTTCTCTTTCAGGAATAATGACTAGATGGCTTGCTGCCCTTCGATATTAAGGAGTCAAAAAGAAAAAGAAAATTAATACTGAGAGCTGTTAGAGAACAATGTCAAACCACATGAAACGAGACATGAAGCAGAACATCATGATCCAACGGCCAGGAGAGCATGGAAAGATATGTAGTGGCATATTGCCTTGCCAGTGAACTTGTAGTAGTGGCCACACCCTTTGGGCATGGTTTTAGGTGCTGCCATGACCCCTGGAAGGCAGAGGAGCTTAGGGCATGCTCTCTCTCAGATCACAGAGAACACTGGAAGGGCAGAGACTGCATTTTCAGGAGCAAGAAGGCCACAGTGGTTATTTACTCTTATTTGTGTAAGTTGTTCCCCAATAAAAAGCCTACTTATCAATTATCTTGGGTCTAGTGAACTCATTTTTTAACATCGCCTTCAAAGATATGTAAAGCTTGTAGAGAAAATCACCATCAATAGTACTGTTGCAAAGAAAAATTCTATCTTAAAATTGGAGACATGAACACACTTTAAAAGTCATGAATTAATCAAATTGATTTCACTAAAGCAGACCTGCAGATAATAAATCAGAGACAAAATATACATAGGAGAGTCAGAGAAATCATCCATGAGAACATGGGAAATAATAAATTCCATGTGAATAGATAAGTACAGGAGAACCTGGAAGTACTCATTCATAGGCAAGAGAGCAAGTCACTAATTCTCATAGAGAAAGAAGAGAGTTACTATACATAATTCAACTAGCAACAACAACAACAAAACAGCATATATAATTAAAACTTTATGAACAATAAAATTTAGGCACTCTGGAAATAAAGACAGAGAATCCTCAATTAAATAAGAAAATTTTCAAGTTACATAAATTCAGCATGTTGGCCCAGCTGTTCCATTCCTTGGCATAGTCTCAAAGGACTCAACATCCTACTGCAGAGACACTTGTTCAGCTATGTACATTGCTGCTCTATTCACAATACCTACAAAATGGAAACAATCTAAATGTTCTTTACCCGACAGATGGACAGTGAAAGTGTGGTACACATACATTATGGAATACTATTCGGCTGTGAAGAAAACTGAAATAATGAGCTTTGCAAGTAAATGGATGGATGTGGATGGAAATAGTGAGTGAGGTAACACAGAGCTAGTACTGTGCTCAATAGACCAAGAGAAAACTAAATACAGGATTATATAAATGATTCCCCAACTCTCCTGCAGTATCGGAATACTGAAAACAATTAGAAAGCATTTTTAGTTATCCTAACTTGAATCCCACTTCCAATCACAGCTCAGTCAAAACTAGGTGGGGGGCGGGGCGGGCAGAAATGGGACTGAATGACTGGGATGAGGTCCTGTGAGGTTCTGAATTCATCACAGACCCAAAATGATGGAAGCCTCAGACCTCCCAAAGGGACACAAAGAAGAGAGAACATATCTTGATTCCCCCCCCCCTTTGAGGACTTCACTTTATTCTGTGAAATGTAAGACTCATTCACACAAAACTCACACACACAGTTTGTCAAGAAATACTGAGGAGGAGCAAGGGAAAGTGCAAGCAATCAGCTCATAGACACAGAAACCATACTTACTTCTGCAACTCTGCAACATCCAGTCCCAGTACAAAGTCCTCAGGGCACTGCCCCTCCTCCTAGGAGAAGCCCAGTCACATCACTGGCTGTCAACAGACCACAGAATAAACAACAGTTTGGACAGGTGTATTGGTGAACACCTTTCTTTAATCCTAGCCCTCAGGTGACAGAGGTGGGTGGAATCTTAGTTCCAGTCCAACCAGTTCTACACGGTAAGTTTTTGGCCAGGCAGAGCAACACTGTGAGTTCAGGTCTCAAACAAAGCAAACACAACAACCAAAAAAAATAAATAAATAAATAAATAAAAGTTTGGTCATGTGTTCATGGACACAGTGCTTTTCTCGAACCACCGAGAGAAAAGACTAATGCAGATAATGCAGACATTTTTCTGATCTAGATGACTGCACACAATCTTTTAATATCATCTTTATTTCCTTGTGTTTTGTTCTTTCTTTTTTGTTTTTTTCAAGACAGGGTTTTTCTGCATAGTCTTGGTGTTCTGAAACTTGCTCTGTAGACCAAGCTGGCATTGAACTCAGAGATCCACCTACCTCTGCCTCTCTAATGATGGGATTAAAGACCTATGCCACCACTGGGTTTATGTCTTTTCTCACTGTGAAAATACTATGACCTGACATCCTCAAACAGCATACTGTGCTTTCCATAATCTAAGTTGCAACACTAAGAACTCAGCACAAGAAGACACGTTTCTTTTTCTTTTCTTTCTTGTTCTTTTGAGAGGGTCTCACCATGTAGCTATGGGTGTCCTGGAACTCACTGTGTACACCAGGCTGGTCTCGAAATTACTGAGATCAGTCTGTCTCTGCCTCCTGTCTGAGTGCTTATACTCCAGGCAACAAAGAAGTCTGGCAAAGACACTTTTCAGAATGCTGTATTTACATCAGAGTGCGTAATCGAAGATGAAAGATTAATGATGGATTAACAAGTTTGCTTTTACATGTTAATATTTACAACCATACCCGTGGAGCTAAAAAAAAGTATATTTACATTTTCAATCAAATCTGTAAGCATTCCTTTAAGGACTATTATCTAAAAGGTCTCCAGGAAGGCCAACTCCCCAGGTTCATATGCCACTCTCTTGAATAGATAAGTAGCTTAACAGGGAAGTTAGCATGATGAATGTGAATATCAAATGCTCTTTGCTCTCCATAGCAGCAAAGAGAAACGCGTTTGCAAATATCAACAGATAAATTAATATATTACTAGAGTATTCTTACAAGGAACAGTTTGGCAACCAGAGGACTGATGAAAAAAAAATCTGGATTGGTGTATTTCATATTATCAAAATTGACCGACAAGAGGAAGACATTCACAGCCGGCTTCCTTAGTGACAGCAGAGAAACTGCTCGCACCCCCGGTCCCCTCCCTCCTGGGTCCCAGCCCCGCAGCTCCTCTCACCTGGGAGGTTCCAGGGCCGCAGGGCTGCGGTTCCCGCCACTGCGCTGCTGACTGTGACTTTCCCAGGCCGCCCCGCGTGGAGACTGCGGCTCCGGAGTTTTCAGGTCCCCGCGGCACCCGCCGTGTCCTCCGCACCCAGATCTGCAGCACAGGATTCCACACCGTGCAGGTCCCAGAGCAACGACAGGGAACGGGGACTGGGCACTGGGCACTTCTGCGTTTGGCTCCGCAGACCACTTCCCTGTCCTCATCCACTAGATTTCCTCGCTTCCGCTCACGTCACTCCAATTTTGCAACCTTCATCTACACCCACCTAAGGTCCAACTTCCTCCATGCACTGTTTCCGGTTTAGTGTCCCCGCCCCACTGAGACCCTTCCCTTCCGCACAGCTGCAGCTGTCAGGCTGCCCTAGACCCGCTCTGCGCAGATTCCTCACACGCTTGCTGCCAGCCTAGACCACAACTGCATCCAGGAGGACGCTGCACCCCTGTAGCTCACCCTCTTTATCCCGAGTTTTGACCACTTCATGTTGAAATTGTTCAGTCTCATGCCTCATTTTAGGTTTCCAGTTCCCGGTCTATACAGAAAAAGACAGCAACCACTCGAAATACTGATGTGCAGCTTCCATAACAAAAACACAAACTAAGATGAAGTAGTGCTGTCAAAAGTCATCATTTTCATAGCTAGGGTTAGGGGGTTAGGATTTGGTTTCATCTAAAGCAGATGAAACAGGAGAAACTTGAAAACACACACACATACCCATCAGTATTTTCAATGAGGTCAAAGTACATGAAGAGGAATCAAGACCCTTGGTGTCAAAAGAGGACAAGAACAAAGTGATTGAAGGGCAAGAAGACACAAGCAAATGGCTTGTCCTCGAAGAAGGAGGACGATTCAGGCTATGAACGCTGAATTCAACAAGGAGTTAGAAAGTCCAAACTGAAATGAGAGAAGTGAAAGAAAAACACAATAAGCATAACAGTAACTCAATGAAAAGCCTCACCACCGAATAGATCAAGCAGGAGACAGACGACCAGGGCTTGTAGACAAGCTAAGAGGATCTGCATCACTCAGTCAAATAAGGTGATAAATTAAAAAAAAAAAAAAAAAAAAAAAAAAAGTCAGACGCTCGAAATTCCAACTGCATCTTCTATGTTGATAGAAAACATTCTATAACTGTCCCCATAGAGAGATTTCGTGGTTAATAAAGATCAGGATAAACAAATAGGCCCCCTGAACATGGGTCTCAGTTAGAAGGCCTGGGCAGTCTAAGGGACCTCTGACAGCGGAACCAGGATGAATCCCTGGTGCAGGAAAGGACTTTGGGCGCACATTCCCCATAGAGGGATACTCCCTTAGCCTAGAGACGGGAGGGAGGACAGATTTTGATGACTTCTCCTGGAGGAAGGCATCACCCTCCCTGTGGAGTGTGGGAGGAACGGGATGGGGGAGTAGTGGGGGACATGGGAGGGAGGTAGACAGGGAATGAGGGAGCGGGAACTGAGATCGATCGAAAGAAAGAAAGAAAGAAAGAAAGAAAGAAAGAAAGAAAAAAAGAAAGAAAAAAAGAAATCATTTCAGAGGTTTCAAAACCCTAAGTTTGAACCACCATATCACATACCACATCAAACACTGAGTAATGTACACACCTCTCAAAGGTCTACCATAGAATAGACACATACAGAGTTATTGTTACACTGTTCACAAGAGATAAGAAATGAAACCAGCCTAGATGCCCAGCAACAAGTTAATGGGTCAAGAAAATAGATTGAATTTACATGATGGAATTTCACTTTGCAGCAAAGACAACTATAAGCATGATAGTTGCACTAAAATCAACAGAAATGAAAATAATATTAATTGAAGTATTTCCTAGTAGCAAAGAAAATTTTGGCACATTTTACCCCATGTACTGATTTCATATTTTATTTTCATACATTCCAGTGTAGATACAGGTCTTGGGAATGACTCTAGACCAGTGGTTCTCAACCTAGGGGTCAAATGAACATTTCACAGGGGACAAATATCATGTACCCTGTATATCAGATATTTACATTACAATTCATAGCAGTAGCAAAATTATGAAGTAGGAACTAGATAATTTTATGATTAGAGATCTCTACAACATGAGGAACTGTAGCATTAAGGGTTGACAACTGGGATTTTGACCATGCTCCAATGAGTATATGGACAAAATGAATTGGACTTGGTGTATTTTTTTTTTCTTCTTCTTCTTATGTGGAAGGCAGACCTGAGAAGAATGTGGTTGGGATGCATTGAATAAAATCCCAAATAATTAATAAAAATGTTATGTTGGGAAAAAGTAAATAAATCTGAAAAAAAACCCCACTGTTTTGACAGAGAAACTTCAGAGGGGATAAAGAGCTCTTGATGGAGCTAGAAGTAAAGGCAAAGTAATGTTATTGTGAGAAAGGGCCTAGAAACCACAATGTCGATGTGACCTTGAGTCAAGAAAGCATCACCAATGAACAAGGCAGCACTGTGTTCTTCCTGTCTCACCTATAAGACATGCTTATTGACAACGTTACCATCTCACAAATTATAAAAAAGACTGTTTCCGTATTGACAGAGGGCAGGGCGATGCTGTGTGTTCTCAGGATAAACACAGAAATCATCTCCAGCAAGAACATAACAGCCTCAACTCCAAATAGGCTTCATCATTGAAAAGAAAAGAAAAAAAAAAAGTCAAAATCAAAACTATCAAAAGATAGGCCATGGATGTGGCTAGCAATAAAGACGAGAGTTGGCCATGGTAATGGTAGAAAACAGAAGAGGCTTATTAAAAAATTAAAAACTTAAAAATAAAAAAAGATAGTAACAAATGATAAATGTTTCCATTCACAATCACTTCTAATGAAACATGATGAAATTGACTTCACTTCATATTTCTACTGTCACTTGAAGTGACCCACCCCCCCCATTCAATTCCTGCAACATGCTTGGATTCTTAGCTGTCTCCCCTCTCTCCATCTTCCAAGCCCCTTTGTTCTGCTGCACAGGTGAGCAGGTCTGGGTGATCAGTGAGCCCTGCACATGAGAAAGAGATTGTTTAGGAAGCCCCTGGATTTCTCACACAGTACTGTGCTCAGTAGATGAAGAGAAAACCAGTGCATTCTGCAAAGAATTCACCAACTGTCATGCAATGTCAGAATACTGAAACTATTCAGGAAGCATTTTCAGTTAGTGTAACTTGAGTCCCACCATGTCTAACCACAGCTAAATTCAAAACACAAGGGCACAAATGGGACTGAATGATTGCAATGACAATTCTGTACACTAGAGAGTCTCTGAATTTACGATGGAAGAAAAACAAAAAAAAGCCTGATGCTTCCCAAAGGACGCACATGAAAAACAGAAAGACTACCGTGTAACGCTTACTTCACTCAGGATTTCACTTTAGACTGTGAGGTGCGGAACGCATTCACACACAGCTCGCACACTTGCAGAGTAATTTTCCTAGGAAGCCTGCTGAGGATGAAGGGAGACTGCAAGCAAACTGTTCTTACCTACAGAAATCCGATGGCTGCAATTCTGCAATATCTAACCTCTGCAGAAATCCCGCTCCCTTTTCTGGTGAAATGTCTACAGCTACAGCATTATATGTCAACAACCTTGATAGAAAAGAACCGTTTGCCTTGTGTCCATGGGCAGAACAACAGGATTGTGAGAAAACCGTCCTCAAGAACCGCACTAGAGGCAAAGGATTACCAGCCTACAATCCACACTTCCAGAAAAGCTAGGAAATAAGGAGGACCCTAAGAGAGACATACATGCTCCCTCCAAGGGTAAAGGAACAAGATCTCCTGAGAAAATTTGGAGCATAGGGAAAGGGGAGAGGGAATTAGGAGATAGAGAATGGGAGGAGGGGAAAGGAGAACATGAGGGAGCAGGAAGACTGAGTCTGGGGGAAAATAGAGGAGAGCAAGAAAAGAGATAACATAACAAAGAGAGCCATTATAGGTTTAAAGAGAAATCTGGCACTAGGGAAATGTCTAGAGATCTTCAAGGATGCCCCCAACTAAGAATCTAAGCAATAGTGGAGAGGGTATCTTAAATGCCCCTCCCCTACAATGAGACTGATGACTACCTTATATGCCATCCTACAGCCTTCATCCAGTATCTGATGGAAGCAGAAGCAGACACCCATAGCTAAACACTGAGCCGAACTCCTGGAATCCAGTTGTAGAGAGGGAGTAGTGATGAGCAAAGGGGTCAAGACCAGACTGGGGAAACCCATAAAAACAGCTGACCTGAGCAAGCGGGAGCTCATGGACCACAGACTGACAGCTGGGGAATCAGCATAGGACCAAACTAGGTTCCCTAAACGTGGGTGGCAGGAGGCCTCTGCTGTCTATGGGGCCTCTGGTAGTGGAACCAGTATTTATTCCTAGTGCAGGAATGGACTTTGGGAACCCATTCTCTACGGAGGGATACTCTCCCAGCCTAGGCCCAGCACAAATGATGGACAGACTTTGGTGATCCTCCATGTAAGGCCTAGCCCTCCCTGGAGAACAGAAAGGGGATGGGGTGGGGAATAGTTGAGGGGAGGACATGGGAGGATGGGAAGGAGAGGGAACTGGGACTGATATGTAAAATAAGATTGTTTCTAATTAAAAAAAAAAAAACAAACATCACTAGAGAAAGTGATCATATTCCTGGTCACCTCCCTGCTGTGTCTCAGCCCTGCAGCTCCTCTGATCTGGGAGGGCCCAGGGCTGCCAGCCTGTGGTTAGGCCACTGGCTGCTGACTGGTGACTTTCCCAGGCTGCCCCAGGGGCCTCCTGAAGCTGACAGGATTTTCACATTCCTGCCAGACCCTGGCCAGGAAGATGGCTCAGGATGTGTTACTATCCAAAAGTTGCTAGGGCCTCACGAATTTCTTTTGGGAAATAAGATAGTGGCCACAATCCAGTGCCAGAGAATCAGATCTGTAGTTGTTGTTTTGCTTCTACTGGGTGATCAGAGTTAATATTGAACCAGGAGAGAGAAATTCTCTAGAATTCCAGTGTTAAACTGGACGAGGAACAGTTCAAATGATCATATTTATGGAGGTCAAAAGTATTGCTTCCTCATACTCAACATGTAATATTTTTCTTATATAGAGAATTAAGCAAAGAACACCAGGAGTTGTGCTATGTTTTATATGGAGAATGAAATAGGAAA